AGTGCCTGTACTCATTACCGTTTGCTCAATATGGAGGTGGAGTAACAGGAGACTTTATTTGTACAAGTACAAATAAACAAACATTTATTTGTGCACCTGTTATTTGTACAATAATTGGCTGATTGCAGTATAACATGTAATTGATGAGTAGGCAGTGGGTTTTAAGAGCCAGTGTTTTTTGAGTTATTTTTCACTATTTAAGCTACAAACTTGCAGTAACGTATGCTCATCATATATAAATACATTTGTTATCTATCATGAATCATTGGGTATCAAAAGGTATAAACTATCTATTAGTTGAAAAAAAAACAATTGTTATTTTGTGTTCTTATTTGTTTGAACAGTCAAAATATGACTAAAAATCAGGTCAGTTTTTTTTCAAAAAAGTTAGAAGTTTTGGAGAAAAATGTTTTTAAATAAATATAATTAAATAAAATTTGGAGAACGCTATTTTTGATGGTTTATAACCATCTAAAGGTAAAATAGAGAAAATGGATGATTTATTTCATTGCAGTTTCAAAATATATAGAGTTCCTTGACAAAGGATCATCCAAAAACATCTCCCATTTTGTCCTTTTAACTCATATTGGTAACCCAGAAAAACATAATTTAAATCTATTTACTATAAAAATGCCGAAACCTAGTTCTACTGAAAACAACCTTAACATTGGCATGTGGAATATTCAAGGTTTAAATTCTGAAAAAAAAGTGAACATGTATTTGTAAATTTTGTATCAAAAATGCATATTATTAGTCTTGAAACTTGGAGTGACAGTGGTAAACTTGTTGATAGTATATCTGGATTTGATTTTATATGTAACAGTACCACGAAAAAACACAAAAGAGCCAGACGAGTTTCTGGTGGTATTGCTCTGTATGTCAGAAGTTCTATATATAAAGGTATATCCAAACTATCTTGTAATCATAATAATGCTGTATGGGTTACCGGGTAAACTAGATCAACATTTTTTTTAATCTTAAGAATGATATTTTTATTGCTACGGTATATTTTTCACCTGAAAATTCATCTGGTTGTACAGAAGATATAAATGAAGTTTATTCAAAGTTGCTTAGGAATATTGAACACTATCTATATATAATAATCAACTCGGGGATATTGTAATTTAAGGTGGTTTTAATGCCTATACTAATACTATTCCTGACTTTGTAATTTCTGATGAAGCAAAATTCCCAAAATCAGATGACAATGAGTACTCAATTGACTCATAATTTAAGAAATAATCTTGATTCGAAATCTACAAACTAGAGTGGAAAATTACTAATTGATTTATGTAAAGAATCAGGACTCAGAATACTGAACGGAAGAACCATTGAAGACCCTATGGGTAAATGTACATGTATAACATATAATGGTTCAAATCTTGTAGACTATACACTTGTGTCTTCTAATTTACTAGAATGCATTGGAAACTTTAAAGTTAATTATTTTACTCAAATTTCAGATCATTGTCCCATCAGTTACTCTTTTCTTACTTGCTTTCAGAAACTTAAAATCAAAGGGACAAAGTTGGATCCTCTCCCCGGTAAATTTATTTGGGATAACAAAGGAATTGGTTGCTATATTACAAACATTCAAAGATCACATGTGACACAGAGGCTAAATTTGTTCAAAAGAGAATCGTGAATAGGCCTATCAAGCAAAATAAAAAACCATAGTTCTCAGACTCATGTCAATCATGACCTACATACTACAGTTAAAACGTACTGTTTTCTTGTAAATAATTTCCGGACAATGGATTCTATAGAAAATCATTTTACTCATTTAAATCTAAATTAAGAAGAAGGTGCAAACAGAAAGAAAGAAGTTACAAAAGTCATATCTGTGACCAAATTTCACTAAATATGAAAAAAGACCCAAAGACATTTTGGAATTTACTTAACAAATTAAATGCTCTATCAGAAATAAAAGAAGAAAACCACTTTGATCAAGAATTATTTATAAGCTACATCAAACAATTTAACAGCTCTTCTAATATCCCAAACAATAAATTCCGCGATAAAATTATTGAAAAGATAAATGCCTTATTTAAAAAAGACACTAAATACATGCAACTTCGACAACGAATTTAATCAACCAATTCAGCCAGTTGAAATTCTAAAGGCAGTTAAAACACTTAAAAATGGTAAATCACCAGGTGGTGACTTAATTTCTAATGAAATGATAAAATGTGGTATGCCAGTATTATTAGAACCCTTATCAAAACTTTTCAACCTGGTATTTATGAAAGGCAGCTTCCCAAAATTATGGAATAAAAGTCTGATCACATTAATTCATAAAAAGGGAAACAAATCTGACCCCTCAAATTATTCAATAAAATCATACACACCAGACTTATAAAGTTTATTAACACCAATAATTTGACAGCAGATCATATCTTCTCATTAAAGTTAATTGTTGATAAATATAAGACACAAAAAAAAAGTTTTTGCAGCATGTATTGATCTACGAAAGGCCTTTGATACTGACTGGAGGGAGGGTTTATTTTATATTCTACTCCAAAACAGACTTTCAGGCAAGCTTTATAATGTCATTCAATCAATGTATAATGAAAATAAATGTAGAATTAAATTTCAAAATGGTATTAGCCATGAATTTATATCAACTTGTGGAGTAAAACAAGGTGATGTACTTAACCAGACTTTGTTTAATCTCTATGTAAATGGCCTAGTAAATGACCTTGATCATACAAACACTCAGCCAATTGTAATAGGGGATGTTAAACTAACATAATTATTATATGCAGATGACATTATTTTATTATCAGAAACCCAAGAAGGGCTACAGAATACACTTAATGAGTTAACTAAATATTGTTCCCTCTGGAAACTTGATGTAAACAAACAAAAATAATAATATTCAATTCTAATGGGAAATCACATTGTAATTATTTTAACGTAGAAAATAAGCACCTTTGAGACCGTTAAATCTTATTGTTACCTTGGAATAACAATAAATTATTCAGGCAATTTAAGTCCTTCCAAAAAAAATCTTATGGAAAAAGGAAGACTGAAGGCTTGGTTTAAAATTTAAAAAAAAACAGTATCTTTTATTATAGATAATTCTTGCAGTATGCTTGAAAAATTATTTGATACTTTAGTTGTCCCAATCACTCTTTATGGAAGTGAAGTATGGGGTGTAAGCAAAGTGTTCAAAGATTCAGATCCATTTGAACATTTACATATAAAATGTCCTAAGGAAATTTAAGGGGTACAGTGCAAAACAACAAATGTAGCTTGTCTAGCTGAGATAAACAGAACTCCTTTGCACTTAAAGATTCAGCTTTTAGCTATAAAATTTCTAAACCATATTGTAAAGAAAACAAGTAAATGGGTTAATATTGTAAAAGACTGGTTAAATAAATTAGGATTTGGGCATCTTACTTTTGACCCAATGAATATAAAATATTATATAAATACTGTCCAACAAAGAGTCGTTGACCAGGCTTATCATATTATGAACTGTTCTATCCTTAAATGTGAAAAACTAAATTTCTTTTGTAAGACTCAAAAAATTGGAAAAAGGCCCCCGTATATCGATATACGGGGGCCTTTTTCCAATTTTTTGAGTCTTACAAAAGAAATTTAGTTTTTCACATTTATTTATGTAAATTATAAACTGACAGATCAGTTTTCAGTAAATTTAAACTCAGTGTCCATTCAATTGAAAGGGGGCGTTATATCAATATTGAAAGAAAACAACGCATTTGCCTATCCTGTAATAGGCAAGAAATTGAGGATGAATACCATTTCTTCTTAGTCTGTCTATCAGCTATATATCATTGAGGGATACCTATATACAAAAAATCAATACACACATTTTTGTAGTCTTCTTTTTCATGTGAAAATCACTGTCACTCTAATTTAATTATTGTCAGTTTATTATTTCAATTGTACTATACTGTATGCCATAACTATTTAATGTAAATGTGTTTGTGCTAATAAATATTGTCTATTGTCTGTTATCTATATAAAAGCGCTCAAACAACCAGTCTCATATAGGTGGCGTATTTATTAATATTAGAAAATGATTTTTTAAATATTAGAAAATAAGACCATTTATTAATATTAGAAAATGATTTTTTAATATTAAAAAGGACCTAATCAAAATTGTTCAGGTTTATAAGTAACATTGTGTCTGATCCTGTTTATATCACTGATCTCAAATAAAAGAATCATACTAAACCAAGTTACTGAAATAAAATCAAGTGAAACACCCCTAATATCCAGATTTAAACTAGGTGTAAGCTGGGACATAATATATTATTATAGTCCAAGGTGCGAGTGCTCTTATGATCAGATAGCCGTGTTTACAGAAAAAAGGGTAATCATTTTTTTAATTTTTGTAATAAATCATATTTTCACTGATTTTACATACACTCTACAGATTGTGCATAGATATTTGGAAAAATTAATTTAAAAAAAGAAATCTTTTAGTCTTTGATAAGGTCAAATATGACTAATGAAGCAACTTTTTATGTTGGATTTTTTTGTGTGTTAAATTCATTGCAATTTAGATATAAAAGAAATTGTATACAGAAAAGGATTATATGTTTTGAAAGAAAAGAAATCCTTTTAATAACACAACAGTAGAATTTACCACAAAAATGTTCGTTGACATAAATTAAAAGTAATTTTTACATAAACAAGTTTTGTATTTCAAAACTACCAGGAAATGTTAGTACTGATATACATAAGACTAACTAAAAGTTTGCAAACCTTCTTTCTAAAATTTTAACTGCTTAATTTTTTTACAAATAAAATCATGTTACAAAATATTGTCATGCAACTTACACACACAGATGCAACTCACAGACACACAAACATACACACATGTAAATATTAAAGATCAATGTACAAATGCTACACCATCAGTAGATTTCCTGGGTTGTATCACACACAGTGTTGCATTTTTACATCTCCTTCATTTAAGGTCCTAAAATTAAAATAAATGGTACAAAATACACACAAATAAACACACATTTTTGTCATCAAATTTTTCCATTCTAACATGCCCTGAACAAATGAACATTAAAGTAGATAACATTTATGTTAAAAAAAATCACAATTCATCTTAACCCACTCTAAAAAGACATTTATATATTTTGTGTAAGTGTTATTTACTCTTGTTTTTACTGCTAGTGGCCGTTTCTTTAGATGACTCTACTGAACAGTTGAGTAATATACTATCCTCTAAAGAGAGGGAAGTCCATGGTGATCCACATGGTGTAATGTCTAATTCTGAAAATGAATCATGGACACTTGGTGTAGAATCCCACGATGATCTGCTATTGTCACTGTATTCTGTAATTATTTCATGCGTTTTCGATCTAAAAAGAGGATTGAAAATTGCATGTAATACGTAAAGAGCTAAAAATTTAACATGTAATGTTGAACGTAAACTTAAGTGGTTAATCCCTTTGTACCAACTAAGTTGATCATAAATCTACAATTTTCACTTCTCAATTAATGCAGGGATATATATATTTTAAACCTGTCCTGCTAATATGCATGAAATATTTGCAGCTGAACATTAGGCAAACACCAATCAATAAACTGTATTGTAGATATCGAATTCCAATTCCAACATTTATAAAAAAAATCTTTGGACAGATACTTCACTGATCAAGTCTTAAGAAATCAATCACAATTTAAAGTGGCATCATGCATCTCAGCAAAGAAAGTTCCAAGATATAAAATCTAACACCACACTGAATAATCTGGTTTATGGTTTACATATTTCCCTGGGTTTTTAACTTTATTTGGACTCTTGAAAGAAAACTTTGGAGATTAGTACATTGTTATTTTTTTTTTATATCTTATTACATATAAATTTCATATCAAACATCCTATCTCGTGAAACCACATCAGACAATCGTCACCTGACACCACAGCAGACATTTCACCAACTGAACCCACGCCTGACATCCAATTATCTGATATCCAATCCTAAATTTCACCACCAGAAATCCCAACAGACATTTCACTTCCCGAGATATCGTATCACATGAGAATACATCAGCCACACAATTGCCTAATTAAGAACGCATCATACATTTCACCAGCTGAGTTCCTATTAGACATCTCACAATCAGAGTCCTGGGATCACATCATATATCTCATCACTTCACACTACGTCACACATTGCACTACACGAGACCCTATCACACATCCGTTCACCTGACACTACACCAGACATCTCATCACTTGACACTACATCAGATATTTCACTATCCGAGATAATCTCAGACATCCTATCACCTGATCAGGTCACAGCAGATATCTCATTACCTAAGACCACACAAGATATCTCATCACTTGACACTACATCACACATTTCACTGCCCGATATAATCTCAGACAATTTATCACTTGACACTGCATCAGATATTTCACTACCCGAGTTAATCTCAGACATCCAATCGCCTGAGGTCACACCAGATATCTCATTAGGCTAGCTAAGACCACACAAGATATCTCATCACTTGACACTACATCACACATTTCACTGCCCGATATAATCTCATACATTTTCTACATTTGAAAATGCCTGTACCAAGTCAGGAATATGACAGTTGTTGTCCATTCGTTTGATGTGTTTTGTCATTTGATTTTGCCATGTGATTAGGGACTTTCCGATTGAATTTTCCTCGGAGTTCAGTATTTTTGTGATTTTACTTTATACATCTTATCACTTGCGACCACTTCAGTCATTTCTTTCCCTGAGATCACATCATACATCTCATCATTTGACACTACATCAGATATTTCATTACCAGAGACCCTATCAGACATCCGATACATGACATCACATAAGACATCAAGAGATGATCTCTTGACACTACGTATGTATCAGATCAGTATTTTACTACCAGAGATAATATGGGAATCTTGTAACCTGAAACCACATCAGCCATCTTATTTCCGGATACCACACCAGACATATTGGGTCAAAATAAACATCTGACCAGACTACTACAGATCACATTTTCAGAGATAAAAACGCGAATCTCTGAACCTGCCATGATTATGAGATAACATTAAGCATTATAATCAGGTGTCTACCTCTAAGATCATATAGCTGACCTGAGACTACTATAACACACATGTGTTATAGTAGCATCAGAGCTGACATTTAACAAGTTAACAAGTTGAGATAACGTTAGATTTCTGACCTGAGTCACCTCATATATGAGAATATATCTCATCTACCACGATAGAAAACCACAGACTTTAACCGATTTACTGAATTAGATCAAACCATTCGCCCTTTCATAAGTATTCAAGCACAAGTCTTATCTTAAGGTACCTCTTTATTGGAATACACGGAGGAGCCAAACTTTCAGAGGCCGGTGTTGTAGTTGAGCCATCTGATAAAACGAATTTTCCATGCCTCCAGATGCTGTTGTCCTAAAAATAAATCAGAAATGACACCTTTATTACAATTCTTTCGTAAAATTGGGCACTGATAAAAGTGAAAAATCCATAAGGAACTCGGAATGCCGAATGTGGAGAAATGTTGTTCATTGGTAATTGTACACTTAACTTGTAAAGAATGCACTGTAAGCCACCGAGTAAGGGATACACCGCATTTAAAACATTACTTAATTTAATGGCATTAACATAAAAAAAGATCTACGAGGTACACGATTTCGTGCAGGAAAAGTGCCATGTTTGCATGTTAAACAACCATTGCGACAACTCTTTGATGTTTGTTAAGTGGCCTGTTGCAAGGCAAAATTTCTGCCCGTATCCGACACGCCCTTATTTTCCAGAGGCAATCGACATTTCTCCCCCTTCATCTCTGCCGACCAAGTTTGCATTGAATATGCATGAACTATTTTCCACTTGACGTCAGGCAACTGGCAAACATCAATCGAGATGGAAGGTCTACACCATACATGCTGTCTACGAATAAGGATACTGTTATAACTTATCATTATTAACATAATTATTATGATTAGTTTTATTAAGATCTGAAACTTTAGATATAAAAGTCTTTCTCACTGGACATATTCAGTTGCAATATCAATGTTCTATGATGAAGTCTTTTCTTTACTCGCTTAGAATTAGAATTAAGCGTAATTGGTAGTGTTTGAATAAGTTCACAATATAATTACTTTTATCGTGCAGTATAAGCAACTTTAATTTTTTTTAAAGAATGGTATAAATCAAAGAAAGACTTATTCCAATGCAGAAAACAAAATTGGAAATACAAAAATTCCTTTCGAATCCTGCGTTGAAGATTTACGGACGCCATCATAATTTGGATGACCGTCATGAGGGTCTAGGTGGGGGCCTTCATGTCTGTATTCTTTAATTTTTTAGGCCATTATTCTCGTTAAGTAATCTCTATTCTTTTTTTGGGGGTCTATTTTTTTCTATTCTTTATATTTTTTGCCCACTATTCTTTATATTTTTTGACCATTATTCTCTATTCTTTATATTTTTGCCCATTATTCTCTATTCTGTAAACCCCCATCCACACCCTCCGTTGTGGAATATCTGTGTCACTTATGACAACGGATAGGTTAGACTTGTCGTTCCGCTTTTGTTCTTGCCTAACTTACATTTCAATAGTGGAACAGAAACTGCACACCCTCTTGAAACACCCGAATTCACCCCTGATTTTGGTCGGGCTCATGTTGCTCAATATTTAATTTTTCATTTGTGAAGTGTTTTGTGGACTGTTAAAATTGTTTGTCTTTTCTTCTGGCATTTTTTATTTTGGCCATGGTGTTATAAAAATAAGAAAATGTGAAATGATTGCCAATGAGACAACTCTCCATAAGAGAACAAACGACTAGAAATTAACTATAGGTCACCGTACGACCTTCAACAATGAGCAAAACCCGTACCGCATAGTTAGATATAAAAGGTCCAGAAAATGTAACTTGTAAATGCTGTATATACAGCAGTAGTGGATTCAGTTTGGGGGGGGGGGGGGGGAGGGAGGGCGTAGATGTCTATACCCCCTTTGATTGAAAAATATATGATTTTTTGCATAAAATCGTTCACAAATATCTTCATCTCGCTCCACTAGGCAGTTTGTAAACCGTTTTATGGATTTAAGGCCCCCTTTTGGACAATCCTGGATCCGCCCCTGTACTGTTATTATCATATAACTACCTCACTATTCCATGCTAAGTTAGTAATAGTATTGGTGCCTGTGTATTCGGCATCTGAAAAGTTAGAAACACCACCGTTACTTTCACCATTTGTACTATGACAAGACGAATATTCTGATTGCGAAACTGGTCTGAAACTATGGCTCATTTGTATAAAATGTCTTAGTTTATTTTCCACCGAATCGTTGAAGCGGGCAATATGTTGTTTTCCAGTTGACGGGGATACCAGTCTTCGTTTATTTTTACGCCTGAACATCTCCGGACCATGAGCATTTTCTTCTACGTTTCGTATGCAACATTTAATTGGTTTGGTCTGCGTATCCTTTGGATAATCCATCTCTAGAAATGACTTTAAAAATGACACAGACTTGCGATGGTTTGTTCCATTACAGCTGTCGGGTACATCATTTCGTTTAACGATTGCTTCAATTGGTTTTTCTGTAGTTTCTAAACCTTCATCTGGTTCATTTTTGTTCGTTGACTTGTGAAGCCATTTACGGGAATCTTTTTTGAATCGTCTACCATTGGATATGATTGGATACTTTTCACATGGCAATTCCTCAGTTTGTTCTTCTTTTATTGTTTTACATCCAAAATCATCAAGATTCGGGAATTTAAACATTGTCGCTTTGCATCTTTGCCGGTGCACATAACGTTACTTTTAGAATGGCTTTAATTGACGTGCGTTGTCAATGCGACGGGGAAACGTCATAAATAACTTTTACATCGGGATAGTCTATATGGGATCAGTCATGATTTGATTCAAGTTTTTCTTATCAACAAAGGGTGTAGGTTTACATCAATGAAAAATGTTAAAAACAAGAAACTAAACAGGAGGCTACCATTTATCAAGGATTAATTGATGTTTACAGGTTTTTTTTTTTTATGTTGTTCTGTTACAACATCGTCTCAGGTTAAAAGGGGGCGCTAAAATGATGTTTAACTCGATCACATTCTTTTTGTCCGTATTTCAAGTTAGGAGCCTTTCTACCACATCTGTTTTAGTTTATTGCTTTATCAGGTCTAAAGGTTTTTTCGTTCGAATTGTTTAGATCACGTTTTGTCATGCCGGTGTCCTTTATAGCTTACTATACGGTACGGGTTTTGCTCATTGTGGAAGGCCACATGGTAAACTTCAGTTGCTTATACCCTCGTCATTTGGTCTCTGGTGGATAGTTGTCTTATTGGCAATCATACCACATCTCCTTATTTTTTGCATATTCACAGCATAATTTCAACGTTATGATATCTTATTTGGCGTAAAGACAATCATGCAATTTGACGAGTTACTTTGGAGGGGTTATGACACAGGCACTTGTCACAGAAATTTTTTTTCCTATATTAAATAGGAAATTCTTTTTCTGAGACAAGTGCTCGAGGGTTATGAATCTGTGGACAAAAAAATAAGTTCAATGGTAATTAATGTTGAAATCAGGACAATGCAGTATAATGACGGGGGAAAAACTGGATCGAGATCCAATTTTTCCGGTGGGAAAAATTGGCATGATCCCACTTTTCCCCTTCAGCGTGATTGCGGGGAGTGGGGGGGGGGGGGGGGGGGAGGGGTGAACTAGGATCAGGCCTATTTTACCCCTAGTAGCACGAGAAGCTTTTTTTCCCCTGGTAATTTAACGTCGGCGACGTCAGTTAGACATTTTTATCCAAAAAAAGAATAGTGACTTTTTTTATTAGTTTAGCGGTACCAAACCTTCTACGTATTAATATACATTTGATATTATTAGTTACATAGTGTGCTAGAGACCCTAATACGATTTATATGGGGTCAGTAAATTCCATATGGGGTGACTTTAACCGAAAGGAATGGACAGTACATCTAACAGTTAGATGGCCGCCATTAGGAAAGGCTACAACTAAAAGAGAGACCTCAAAGTAAAAGAACTCATCGAAAGCACGGACAGACAGAAATTCTTGCCGCCTTAAAGCTTTCATTCAGAAGAAGAAGTCCGTCCGATACGGATGAAACTTCATCAAATCCAGAGGAGATAGGTACACTCGCTCCAACCAGCATGGGAGACGTGGAAGTACAGGAATTACCGCATCAACCGAATGCAGAAATATACCCCCATCAGTTGGAGCTGTACAAAATCTACAAAAAGATCCCATCTGCCCTAAAGGTGCCGAGGGTCGACCACCATCCAGCACAAATGAGGCAATATCCACCGGAGTTACATTCAACAATGAGAAAACCCTATACCATATAGTCGGCTATAAAATGCCCCGACAATAAAAATGTGAAACAATTTAAACGAGAAAACTAACGGCCTAATTCATAACAAAATAATTTACGAAAAAAAAAACATGACCGACATGAACCAACAACAACCACTGTACTACATGCTCCTGGCTTTGAAATGGCACATAAAGAATGTGGCGGCTTTAAACATTCAACCCTCCCCAAACAAACCTGGAACAACACACCATAAGAAAAAAACTCTAAAATAGCAGTTGCAATTGGCTTCACTAAAAATGTCGGTACGGTGCAAAATAAATCATTTTTTACATAATAAAAACAATTCGCAGTTACTGAAAGCTATTTCAAAGCCAATTACAACTAATAAAAATCGTATTCTCCCAGACTGGTTTTTCTTTAATAACGAAATAACTACTAACGATATTTATATCTATGAGACAATGCTACATTCATATAAAAAAAAGGAAAACAAGCATGCAGAGACGTACATTAACTGCGAAAACATGTATATTTATTATGGTTGTGAAACGACAGTTTGTCAACCGGATATAGATAAGACTATTAAATTTTCAAGCTTTACTTGCATCATTGAAATACAAGTTAGAGACGTACATTAACTGCGAAAACATGTATATTTATTATGGTTGTGAAACGACAGTTTGTCAACCGGATATAGATAAGACTATTAAATTTTCAAGCTTTACTTGCATCATTGAAATACAAGTTTACTCGTCATACTAGCCTGTTGTCAGAAAAACTAAACTTGCAACGTGAATTGTTGTGGCCATACATATTAAAAATGTTCCTTGGCTTATAATGAACCCAAACGAAAGCTAATTGGCATTTGAAAGCATGAGGGTACTAGTATGGAGTATACACCTAGTAAGTCTTCTGGTCAAAAGAATGCATGTAAATGTCATCATATTGAAGATTCGGACGATCAGACAAAACAACACAACAAAATGCAATTACAGACGGATAAACATGTAGACGGACTGATGAACATGAAGACAGACTGATGGACATGTAGACATAGTATGGTAGACATATAGACCGACTGGTAGACATGTAGACAGACTGGTGGACACATACACAGACTGGTGGACATGTAGGTAGACTGGTGGACACGTAAACAGACTGGTAAACATGTAGATAGATTAGTGAACACGGAGACAGACTGGTGGACATGTAGACAGAATAGTAGACATAAAGACGGGTTGGTGAATATGTAGTCAGACTATTTAACATGCAGACAGACCAGTAGACATATCGACAGACCGGTGAAAATGTAGACGAACTAGTGAACATAGACAGACGACTGGTGAACATGTAGACAGACTTGAGGACACATAGACAGACTGTTGAGAATGTAGACAGACTAGGGGACACGCAGAAAGACTGGTGAAAATAATGACAGACTAGTGAACACATAGACAGACTGATGAACATGTAGACAGACTTGTGTAAATGTAAATGAACAAAACATTTGTCAGCATAAAAATCTAATTCTAACACTGTTGGGTTTAATTTTCAGAATTATATATATATATATATATATATATACAGTGAAATCTATATTATGGGGGGAAAGATTGGCATGGGGGAAAAGTGACTACATGTATACGTATTGTCAAATTTCCGCGGGGGAAGAATGGCAATGATCCAAAATTTCCCCGGGGGAAAAATTGGCATGGGGGAAGAATGCCTATATAACACCGGCTCAAGAGGTAATATATAATGTCCTAAAAATTATTAAAGGGTTCCGCAGAAGCCCGTTTCTTGCATGCGATTGCTATTGCCAGTATTATAGTGTAATATTGACTGTAAAGAAAAAAGAGAGTCAATTTGTCAGTAAAATACAGAATTAAAAAAAACCAATCTTTTTCTTTAGATGCTTTATCTTGATCGTTAATATTAGCTTATCTCCAAGTTTCATAACAATCCATGGAGGTTTACACATTTATCAATTCAAAACATGTAATCTCAGACTGTCTGTAAATGTGCAAAACATTAATTAAGTCCAGCTATCAGTAAACTACTGAAAAATGAAAGAAATATATGCGCTCGACTCCAATCTATATTGACTAGGATTATCAGTTTTCCTACCGAAAGTCGGTGGTTCTATACGGGCACTCTGTCTTCCTCCACCGCCACGAAATAGCACAATAGTGCTAAAAGTGGTGTTAAACACCAATCAATCGGTCAATCAATTAAATGATTTGTAATAAATTTTCTCTAATTCTTACTCGATTTATCCTTTTCATGAACTGTTGATTATTTTTATTTAACCAACGTGTGCTTCGTTTGATCCCAGTTCTTCATTGGTCAAAGTTCGATTATGACGTCAAATTTTCTTGCTTTCCTCTGAATAACATAAACGGTACCAATTTTTCTGCACCAGATGCGCATTTCGACAATCAATGTCTCTTCAGTGATGCTCGAGGCCAAAATATTTGAAACTCTAAAGCTTATTAAAAACATGAAGAGCAATAAACCAAAAAGGACAAAAAGTATAGCCAAAGCTGGGCAAGGAATCAGAGCTTTGCATGAGGAGATACATTCTGAAAATTCCTATTGTGACGTCATGAAAAAAGGCGACCATGCCTGATGACATCACGTAGAAAGAACATATCTTTTTGCATGTCGTTTGAAAAGAAGGATTAAGATTGTCTGCATATCGTCTAAAAATCATAAGAGAAACAGATTCCACCACCAAATCTCGTGCAATACGATATGTATCCACTCTCGAAAGTTAAATTTTAAATATTTAAAACGCTCGGCGAGCCTCGCGTTTTAAATTTGAAAATTTAACTGTCTCGAGTGGATAAATGTCGTATCACACTCGATGCAGTGGTAGAATCTATATTTAATTTTGGATGTAACAAGTCTTCTGATTGGCTGAAAGTTTTTTGTCTATCATCTCATAGACATAATTTTGTCATGTGACCGTAACGTCATCAACGTTTTTTTCATGATTTACTCCTTAAAAACGGAATTTAAAATTAAATTATAAGGAATGATTATAATATTTTTTTCTGTCTATTCGAAATAACCTCAAAAATGTGGTGCCCACTTTTGAATAACCCGCTACGCGCGTTATTTAGTGTGCACCACATTTTTGATGTTATTTCTTCATAGACAGAAAATTGATAAAAAAAAAATAAATTCTATACAACTTCACAAAGTTCTATAATGGTTTGAAAAAAGTTATTAATGACGGAATAACATTTACCTTAGACTGTATTATGTTATAATAACGGTAAAAAATAAGCTCATTTATCAGTATGATAATATGGAGAAAATTTTGTTTTGCTCTGGATACTGTCTGTTTGTTATAGAAAAGCTTCTATCCAAATTATATAAAATTCCATAATGGTTTAACAAAGTGATTGTTGACTTTAAAACTGTAACCTTAGACTGTATCTAAATGTTAACTTAAAAAAAACCTATTTTATTTCAAGCTGTTTACACTTGTTTGTTAAAATAATGTCTTGAAGGATATCTGTTGACAAACGAAGAAAACCAGATTGTGTTCTCAATTCTTCAAGCAAATGTGTTCTCCTTAAAATCAGTAAAGATATTTTCAATGTCTACAGTGCTTTTAGATGAGACGAAACATGAGCTATGACAGTCAAGGAACACCTTCCATAGGTTTGGTGCAATACGTTTTATACAGATCATGTATCTGAATCAATTGTTTTAAATAATTTTGGAACACCAAGATTAATCTGTTCGCAAATAAGAATCTGTTTACGAGCATAAATTCTATTCTAGAGTCAAAACATAAGTCATTTGTTGTTGGGCAACAGCATACAATTGCAGATTAAATGTTTGCTATGCATTTTGCAGAGCATACCTTGTTCCTTCATATGACATCTTTGGATTCTGCCTATTTTCAAATTTTCTAAGCTAGTGTTATATATCTTCGTATCTCCGAGTATGATTCACTAAAGCCATGGAAATTTTGATTGTCGACCATATTTTTTTATCCATGCAAACTCATGGTACCGGTGTTGTAATGCCAACTCAAGATGAAATGGTATAAAACAAAATTAGCTGCTTAATATAACTATACATCTGCTACTGTCAAGATTTTTCACATTTTGTCGTCAGAAGGTTCAGAAGCATTGCCATCACCATTGTAAGCTTAGGAATCAATTATCCATAACAAAAACTTCGTAAGTAATCAAGGAGTGTGTTGTTGGGAGTATGAAATAGATATTCCAGATGGTGTTGGATAGGCCCCATTTAATATATCTAAGGACTGCATTAACTAGGAACCGTTGAAGTAGCTGCATGTAATGTTTGAAATTCATTCATAGATATTCAGTATCAGTTTCAATTTCTGACAGTATTAATCCAGATTTTAAATGGCAAGCTGTTTGAATAGTTTCAAACAATTAGTTTGAACTACTGAACCCTACATTTGATTCTTCCTGTCGTTTCTTTTTCCGTGAGGTGATAGTTTTTCCGTGAGGTGATAGTTTTTCCGTATGGTGATAGTTTTTCCGTATGGTGATAGTTTTTCCGTGAGGTGATAGTTTTTCCGTGAGGTGATAGTTTTTCCGTATGGTGATAGTTTTTTCCGTATGGTGATAGTTTTTCCGTATGGTGATAGTTTTTCCGTGAGGTGATAGTTTTTCCGTATGGTGATAGTTTTTCCGTATGGTGATAGTTTTTCCGTATGGTGATAGTTTTTCCATAATTTTGTTCTAACCTACACTGTAGTTTGGCTGAAGCGAACGTTGTTTTCAGTTTGTGAAGTAGAAAGCAGCAGTATTTTCAAAAAAGAAAAAATATGACATAGGCTTTTTGTGGATGTCACCAATTAGGCGATTGAATCCTTCTCGTTAAACATACAACTCGTCATTTAATTTGTTTTTTACCGGAATTCTAAGAAAAAAAGATAAGCATAAAAGTATTGTAGTAATGTGCCTTTGTTTCAAATTCTGGAGTGATTTTGTTTCTAAATTTAATGTTTTGTCCGACACTAGTATTTCTTTTATGTTTTGGAGTCCTTTGTCTGTTTCAGTATACATGTATGAGGGGCCTGATGGGTTATTTTCGTTCTTCGTGATCGGCGCATTTTCGCTATCGTGATTCGTTTTCTACAGATTTTTTTTTTTTTATATTTTCGTGATCCGTGATCATGGAAATTTATTTTCTGTGAATCGTGATTGACAAAAAAATCAACTCGTGAATCGTGATGAGCCCCCCCCCCCCCCCTCATCAGGCCCCTCATGTATCGTAGATGTGTGTCGCGTTTCTAGCAGAAAATGCAATCAGTCCAGTCAATAGGAGTGGACATTGATCTGGTCAGAAAAGACTAACAGGTTAACAGGGCATTTATACAGGGCCATCACAGAAACCTGCAACTGAGTTATAAAATAAAGTTCTGAAAGCTACGTGTCTGACCATCTATCAAAGGACAATTAATTTGACCGTTTATGACATGTCTGTTATAAAAAAATCATTTTCTTTTTTATTCATGAAATCAAAATAAGGTCAAATTAAACAAAAAATACACTCTACTTTTCGTTTATTATTTTTTCAAACCAGATGCACAATATATGCCGGAAGTCCAAAAATGTTTACGTTGATCCCCAATGTCTGTAGTTTCTCATAACCTTGTTCTGTTCTGTCATAAAGTTCTGTGTTCTTTGTAGCTCCTCCATCTGAAAGGATAATTCACGATTAAGGATAAGATCAGATAAGAAAACAATTTGATTATTTTGATTCGGGGATCATAAAACAATAAATAACAAGCTCTATCGGGCTTTTGGTCGAATATACAAAATATATAGTTTACATTAAAGCAATAGCTCGTGGAACCCACAGATTCAAAGTACATGACAGCACTAATAATTAAGCAGCTAAGTTGAAATTTAAACATATAGCATAGCAACTGCTACTACACATTAACTAAGAATTAATCTCATGTAAACATAGGTTGTGGATCTGTACTTTTACCCTATCCCCGTGTTACTTTTAATCAAAATTACCCCCCCCCCCCCCCCCCCCCCCCCCCCCCCAATACGATAAACACTTTAGCTGTTATACTATGCTCTGGCATTTTACAAATAAATTTTCATTTGTTTGTATTTTTATCTATTTATATTTACTGTCTTATTTAATTTGTTCAACTTTTTAAAACTCTTTTTTTTACATTTTTTTAAAATCTCTAACCAACGCTGAAACCCAAAATAAAAAGTACTGATATGCTTTAAGTACAGGAATACCATTTAAACGAATGCGCTTAACTATAAACGGACGATTTAACCATAACTTAATTAAATAGAGCGAGACTGAAACGATAGTCGAAATAGATATTTGTACCACGCCTGCATGATGGGTAAAGTGTAACGTGATACCAGTCCCTCTTAGTAATGTATCCTTACTTTCTTGGTATTTGTTGTTTGTTCATTGGATGATGTAGAGTCTGCTGTTATGTAACCGCTCGAGCTTCCATCAGAAGGAAATCCCGATTTGTCGGTCTTGCTTGAATCGTGACTCTTAGCAATCAAAATTTTCAGTTTATCTTCGACAGCATCATCAAGTTCAAGCAGAATGTTTTCTGGGTCACGAAATGGTGATCTCTTTCTCTTAGTTTCACATACGAACATTTCCGGGCTATTTGCGTTTTCCTCCATACGGATATTCCCGGCGCTACATTCCATGCTTGTAGTTGGTAGCTCTTCGTCAGGGGTACATGTAAGCAGATACTTCAACATAGAAGGACTTTGACGGTAAGTCGTTCCGTTACAGCTGTCTTCAGGAATTACATCATTAACGGTGGTCTCCATTACCTGAAGACATTCTATTGGTTGTGAATCTCTTCGAAAACGCTTTCCATTCGGCAACACTGAATATTGGAAACTACTGCCGTATGTTGACATGTTTCCGTTTATTTTGCCGAATTTTGTCATCTGCGTTTAATTCCCACTCCCTTGTAGTAACGAGCTGATTGTTGCCAACTGATACGATAACGTCATAGAGCCGCTGAACACAGACTTCCAGTACGTTAACATCGGCCGAAATACCTCGACTTGAGAGTCGTGCATCTTTCACCTAGGTTGTATTTTAAAAAATGTAAAAAACGTAAAATAAATAAAACGGTGGTTAATTAAGAAATAACGTGAAATTCAATGAACAGTATGAAACAAATCAAAACATTCCAAACTTGTTCGCTCCGTCACGCAACTGAAACTACTAAAATACTAAAGTAGTATCTGTTGATCTGAACACAATAACTATGTTTTTCAAGTTACGATCTGCAGGCTTCTTTCTAAACCAAATGTGAAAACAGTCATCAAATCTTTTGTCACAATGTCCATGTTTGTGCCGCTTATGGAAATGGATGTGTCAAAGAGACAACAAACCGACCAAAGAGCAGAAAACAGCCCAAGGCCACCAATGGGTCTTCAACACAGAGCGAGAAAATCCCGCACCTGGAGGCGGGCTTCAGCTGGCCCCTAAACAAAAATGTGTACTAGTTCAGTGAAAATGGACGTCACACTAAACTCCGAAAAATATAAATGAACTAAAATTAAAAAAAACACATACAAGACTAACAAAGGCCAGAGGCTCCTGACTTGGGACAGGCGCAAACATGCGTCGGGGTTAAACATGGTTTGTGAGATCTCAACCCTCCCCTATATCTCTAGCCAATGTTGAATAAACAAACACACAATAATTAATACGCACAGTAAAACTCCGTTAAAAAGAATGCCATTTTCTTTTTGCAGATACTTCGTTGCTTTCAGATTTAATTTTTCCACCTTCAATTTCGAAATCAGACCGGAGTATTCAACGCTAGAAAAAATAAATATCTTACATTCTAAATAAGCATGGGATATTGTCTTATCAACACTTACCAGTTTAATGTCCTAGCTATCAACATTTACCAGGCTATTGTCCTATCTACATACATATTTGAATGGTTGGCAGAATCTATGCATTTATAACAAACTAGTATGCTGGGTCGAATCTATGCATATATGACTAACTAGTAAGGGGTCAGACTCTATCCATTTATTTCTAACTATTATGATTGATAGAATCTATGCATTTATGACAAGCTAGTACAGGGGTAGAATCTCTGCATTTATGACAAACTAGAATGAGGGCAGAATTTATGCATATATATGACAAACTAGTATGTTGGCAGAATCTATGCATTTATTTCAAACTATTATGCTGCATAGAATCTATGCATTTATGACAAACTAGTAGGGGGCAGAATCTATGCATTTATTTCAAATAAGTATGCTGGGCAAAATATATGCATTTATTACACACTAGTATGCTAGGGAGAATATATGCATATATGATAAACTAGTAGGGGGCAGAATCTATCCATTTTCTTCTAACAAGTATGCTTGGTAGAATCTATGCATTTATGACAAACTAGAATGGGGGCAGAATCTATGCATTTATGACAAACTAAAATGGGGGCAGAATATATGCATCAATAGGACAAACTTGTATGGAGCAGATTCTGTGCATTTATTTCAAACAAGTATTCTGGGTAGAATCTATACATTTATTTCAAGCTAATATGCTGGGCAGAATCTATGCATTTATGAGAAATTAGTAGGGGGTAGAATCTATGCATTTATTTCATACTAGTATGCTGTGCAGAATCTATGCATTTATAACAAACTAATATGCTGAGTAGAATCTATGTAGATATGATAAACTAGTATTGGGGCCAGAATCGATGCATTAATCAATGCATATATGACAAGCTAGTATGCTTGGTAGAATCTATACATACATGCATGACAAACAAATATAGGGGACAGAATCTATGCATTGTTTTCAAACAAGTATGCTAGGTAGAATCTATTTATTTATGACAAACTAGTATGAGGGCAGAAAACATGCATATATATATGACAAACTAGTATTGGGGCAGAATTAATGCATTTATATAAAAGTAGTATGCTGGGCAGAACCTATGCATTTATGACAAACTAGTATGGGAAGGGGGCAGAATTTGTGCATTTATTTCAAACTAGTATGTTGGGTAGAACCTATGCTTATATGACAAGCTAGTATGGGGGGATCTATGCAATTATTACAAACTAATATGCTAGGCAGAATATATGCATTTATAACATACTAGAATGTTGGGCAGAATCTATGCATTTATTATAAACTAATATGCTGGGAAGAATTTACACATCTGACAATAACAAACTAATATAGTAGGCACAATCTATGTTTTCATTAATAAACTGTTAACACAGAGATATGTCGCCTATTCGATAATTTGATTATGCAAGTGTTGAAATTAAAATAGAAATACTTTAACATGTAAGTTATGCAAATATTCAAAGTCAATGAACCATGACTGAAGGTACAGGGCTAAAAAATCTCAATGGAAATCAGGTGTGCCAATGTTAAAACAACTGCATACCAGATACCATCGACTTTTCATAAGTCGTTCCCTTTAAACAAACCTAAACACAAACATTAACTTGAAAGCTATGTAAAAGTTTCAAAGTCAATGAACCACAATGAAGGGTCCAATACTATTAATAAATATCATGACTTAAAATTAGTGGTTCATCTTAAACTGACCATATCACAAACTAATACATGAAAGCTAAGCAAAAGTTTCAAAGTCAATAGACCATGACTGAGGGGGCAGGGCCAATTAATATCCATGGAAATGAGATGTGCTTATACTTATACAACTGTATACCTATCATCATTGACCTACCACTAACTGACCTAATCACAAACTAATACATGAAAACTAAGCAAAAGTTTCAAAGTCAATAGACCATTACTGAGGGGGTGGGGCCAAATAATATCCATGGAAATGAGATGTGCTTATACTTATACAACTGTATACCTATCATCATTGACCTACCACTAACGGTCCCCTTAAACTGACCTAATCACAAACTAATACATGAAAACTAAGCAAAAGTTTCAAAGTCAATAGACCATGACTGAGGGGGCGGGGCCAAATAATCTCCATGGAAATGAGATATGCCAATGCTTATACAACTGCATACCAAATATCATTGACCTACCACTAGTGGTTCCACATAAACTGACCTAATGACAAACAGGTTCCACATAAACTGACCTAATGACAAACTAATACATGTTAACTAAGCAAAGTTTCAAAGTCAATAGACCATGACTGAGTGGCGGGGCCAAATAATCTCCATGGTAATGAGATGTGCCAATGCTCATACAACTGCATACCAAATATCATTGACCTACCACTAGTGGTTCACCATAAACTAGACCTAATCACAAACTAATACATTGTTGACACCACCGCCGCCGGAAACAGCATACCTATATCTTGCTTTTTGACTCATCAAGACGAATAAAAAACTTGTATAGTGGACAGAATCAATGCATTTATGACAAACTAATACAGTAGACAAAATCTATAGCTTCATAATGAACCGTCTCAATGGTCTTGACTCTTGTGGTAGCGTGTTTGCCATGAGTGTGGGAGGTCGTGGGTTTGAACTCAGGCTGGGTCATAGTAAACCCCTATGTTCTATTTTTAGCTATGGCGGCCATGTTGGTTGGATGGCAGAGTCATCGAATACATTTTTCAATGATACCCTATTGAAAATTGTGGCTAAGTTTAATTCTATTTGAGACAGTAGATGAAGTGGAGAAGATTTTTGTAACACAATTGGACACATTTTTAAAACTAGATACCCCAATGATGATTGTGGCCAAAGGAGTAGGGGCAATAAGGCTCTTATTTGGCCCAAATATTCAAACAACTTCATATTTGGTGAGCTTATGTCAATAGTTATAATAAAGCTTCTCTTAAATTATTTTGTTGTTTCTTGGCTGCGCACGATGTTTCCGCAATGGAAATAATGATGGAAAACTTCATAAATTCTGTATTTTTCATTGTTTTCATGAAAACAGTACATATAATGACGTAATTTTGGCGTCATCAGATAAAAAAATCTCATGTTTTTCATTTATATCTCTTGATGTTATGCATTTCCAATTATTATGTGCAAATTTGAAACAATTGTTAAACAGTTTATTTTATTGGGCCAAAACCGTGCCTTAATGCCCCTACTCCTTTGGTAAAATTTGGCTGGGTAGTTTCAGAGGAGAAGATTTTTGTAAAAGTAAACGGACGCCAAGTGATGAGAAAAGCTCACTTGGCCCATTGGGCCAGGTGAGCTAAAAAATGATCAGATTCATACTCAAATCTGTCCAAAAGTGAGAGAAAATCTTCGAGCAAGAAATTGATATATGCATAAAGACAGATGCTTAGAGAAGCACTCTAAAATATTGTCTAACATTGTTATATAATATATGTATCTTAGAGTAGCCAGATATGTGTACTGAATATTGAATTTTGGGGATTCTTCACCTTCTTTTTTCACTCATACCAAACAAAACACCTTTCATCTGCAGCTAAAGCTTTTTAAAGCAAAATATAGAATTTTTTTTGTTGTTATTGATAAAATTTCAATCTTTTCTCTGATACCTGTGGCAATGAAATAAAAAAATAAATGTGGATAGTGTCCACATGTGGACACAGATGATGCCCCCGCTTGCATATCATATAGTTATAAAGGGACATAACTGAAGAACAGTAAAAGTGACGCTACCCAAATTTGAACTTGATCTGAGTTTTGTGTGCAAGTCTCATAACATTTGGTTGAGGCTAACTTAAGTAGAGAACAGAAACTAAAAATTCAGCAATTTTTCTATTTATAAAGGGGCATAACTCAATAATGGTTAAAGTGACACTACCCAAATTCAACTTGATCTGTGTTTTATCAGTGGAAGTCAAAATTAAACATTTCATTGTATAAAGCATTGATTGTAGTTGATTCATTTATAATCATGGACAAAGGAAGATAACTCCAATTTTAAAAATAACTTGATATTTAGAAGAAAATAAAAATTTTGCAATTTTTTCCATTTATAAAGGGGCATAACTCTAGAACGGTTAAAGTGACGCCACCAAAATTCAAACTTGATCTGTGTTTTGTGGTAATAAGCATTGTGTATAAGTTTCATAACATTTGGTTGAGGCAAACTTAAGTTAGAGAACGGAAACTAAAAATTTTGCAATTTTTCCATTTATAAAGGGGCATAACTCTAGAATGGTTAAAGTGACGCCACCAAAATTCAAACTTGATCTGTGTTTTGTGGTAATAAGCATTGTGTATAAGTTTCATAACATTTGGTTGAGGCAAACTCAAGTTAGAGAACGGAAACCAATTTTGGGACGTACGGACGGACGTACGTACAGACGGACAAGGGTAAAACTTAATGCCCCCACCGCTACGGCGGGGGCATAAAAACAAACAAACAAATATAATTTCACATACTGTTTATTATATAAACAGGACAAAAAATTACTACTAGTTACATTTAATAAACAAGTGTGTATTAAACAACAATAAACCAAAATTAATTTCTAAAAAATATTTTAAAAATCCATATTATGTTCTCAATTCTATATTACAAGATGCCTATATCAACATATGCTTATATATTCACAAATCAAATAAAACAATTAATAAATTGTAAAATAAAAAAAGTAAACAACATATTTATATTAATTGTATGTCAATAAAAGAAATTATCTGTATTATCTGTACTAACAGTTATTTATCAAACATGATTTATAAAACCAAAAACAAATGTTTCAACAAGTCATTCTATGTTGATTAAAGGTGGTCAACAACCTATGATTGCATTTTTCTGACCGCAAGGTATTCTTCAAGAAAAGAAAATATTTTATTCACCTCAGACATTAGAGTGTACAAGAGGACATAAACAAACATATATAAAACATGACAGACACGCAACTCAGTACATTAATAAACTGACGTTGACATTTAGTACACTGTTTTAGTAATCAAACAGACCCAGAAATTAATAGACACAAGTCCTTCTTTGGGTAAATGGGGGAAAAAAATAAAAAAAATGCTGTTATAACAAACGAAACAACTTCTAATTAAAAAAAAAAATAAATTCGTAAATCCATACTGAACACCGCCACATTAAACTTTTCATCTTTTAATTTCTTATATATTTTTGGACAAATGACAATGACAGCACATTGCCATTCCAATGTTAATGAACCAAAAAATGTTCAGTTGTTTAAGAACAACATTTATTTTCAGTATGTAGTGGTATCTACTAAACTAAAATATAAATTTATAACTTTAATTATGAAAATTCTGCAGAAAATAATATGTATAATGTACAACAATGATATCTGAACACATAATATATGTAGAGTATACTTCACTACATCTTCAATGACAATCAACTACTGTGGATTCATTATTATTCGTTGGATACCAATTTCCGTGGGTTTCGTGGGTACAGGTGAACCACAAATTTTAATGTTCAACGAATAACATATTTTCAATAGGCTTTGTATATAGAGATTGGCAAAACCACGAAATCAAATATCCACGAATATGCAAGTTTTCAGCAATCCATGAAAATTGATACCCACGAAAATAAATGAATCCACAGTAAATCTGTTTATTTCAAAATTTATTTTTTTAACAAAATGGACAAGGATTGAGGACAAAATAAAAAAAAGAATGTGTCCATCAGACACAGATGCTCCCGTTTGTAAATATGAAAGAGTAAATGTACTAATTCAAACCTATTGTTGTTTTGTTTTCTTTGAAACTTAATAAAGGGGCATAACACAAGAACAGTGAAAGTGGTGCACCCATATTCGAAATTGATCTGTGTTTTGTGGTATTAAGCATTGTGTATAAGCTTCATAACGTTTGCTTGTTAGAGTGTGGAAACGACAAATTGGCTAACTTTTTATTTATAAAGGATGAAAGGTGAAAGTGAAGAATCACAAATTTGACCTAGATCTGTGTTTGGTGGTAATTAGCATTGTGTACAAGTTTCAGAACATTTGGTTAAGGCAACCTTAAGTTAGAAAACGGAAACCAAGTTGGGGACATACGGAGGTAAGACAACCAATGGTAATCTGTATAAGATTTATGTTTGATAGGTATAAAATACCTTTTGAACCTATTTTATCAAATCGAAATAGCAAAAATATTTTCTCACAAAATTGAAGCAGATTCAGTGACTAGTTCAAAGACAAATGAACACAATTATTAGCTAAATATATTAACAATGTTTTTAGGTTTTAGGTTGTAGGAATTTTTTCCCCAAATGAACAATAATCAAAGAAAGAAGCTGTTCACTGAAAATCAGAAATCACAGACAATTGTGGGACTTTATAACCCAGTTTAGAAGAAAATAAAAGACAACACTTACTGGTACTTTCATAATGACACCTTTAAAGCTAAATTTACAGGGCTGCTTTAAAATATAATTTTCAAACCAATATATCTGAAATGCTGTGTTAAAATAATAATAATCCTGTCTTAAATATGATATCATTAAAATTGCCTCTTTTTTTTTTGTAGTTGTAACGATGTCGACTTAATTCAATTTCTAGTCAATACAGTTGATGACGGTAATTTACATAGCCTACTTTCTAGAAAAAAAACTATGCAATTAAGCAGACTATGTTTATAAATAATAAATGGGGAATGTGTCCAAATGCCCCCGCTTGCATATCATATAAAGTTATAAAGGGACATAACTGAAAAATAGTAAAAGTAGACTCTACCCAAATTTGTCCTTGATCTGAGTTTTGTGGTAATAAGTATTGTGTATAAGTTTCATAACATTTGGTTGAGGCAAACTTAAGTTAGGAACGGAAACAAAAAGTTCAGCAATTTTTCCCTTTGTAAAGGGGCATAACTCTAGAACAGTAAAAGTGACATCACCAAAATTCAAACTTGATCTGTATTTTGTAGTAATAAGCATTGTGTATAAGTTTCATAACATTTGGTTGAGACTAACTTAAGTAAGAGAACGGAAACTAACTTTGGGACGTACGGACAGACAAGGGTAAAACTTAAAGCCCCCTCCTCTATGGCAGGGACATAAAAAGTCATGGATTTCAGAGTCAAAAGTAAAGGAAATCCCAGAAAAAGACAATCTCCTATGTATATATATGTACATTATCGAAAGTCTAAGACTGTTTATAAAATCATGGATTTCAAGATTAGAAATAAAGAAAGTCCCTGAAGGAAGACAAGAACTTAGGTATATACATGTACATTATTGAACGTCTCAAAGAATATACATGTCTGGAGTCAGTTTCACAAAAATACTTATGACTAAGATTGATCATAAGTCATGAACAATTCAGTATACTTACGATCAATGTAAGTCGTAAGTTTTTTTTGTGAAACCAACTCCTGATGTTTAAGTATTATGTTTTAACTACAGTCGATCTCTGATCTCAAGGGACTGTAATACAATTTTGAATTAACCAAAGTTCAACCTGAAGAGGGATGAGGTGATTTTAATGAAAGGGACTTGAATTAGCACGACATAAATCAGTATTGCATATCCTGTAGATCTTATACATTGTATGAGTGGACATTGATCCAAATGAAGTTTAACATTCCAGAAGGTGTTTTTGTTTCCTGTAGTTGTTTAAGTACTGCATTTTTCTAATTCTGCAACTTTTTATATTTTTGAAGCGTGAAAGTTCGATTTGATGAACCCATTTGTTGTAATTTGTATTTAATAACCATTTTTGAGTTAATATTTATTTTGTTGCTGTGTCTGCTTATTGAATAAAACTTCTTGGTCTAAATTTATTTATTTTTATCGGTCTGAGGATCAAAAAGGTACAGTGTACCAGGCTTAATTGAACACTCCATTCTTTATACTACCCGAAGTGTATCATTATGCACATGATGTAGGTTATAGGTGTATTGTTAATTTTTTTTATGCTAGTGGTGATTTTTGATAGGTGTTAAAAATTTGAATATAACAAATATAATTTACAAACTGCAGATTAAGTTCAGTCAGACTCAATAAAATTCAACTAAAATTGAGCAATTTAATAAAAATTAATATAAATTACTGTGTTGCAACTTTGCACAGAAAAAATATTTCGACTCATGTGGAATTTCCAATCACCAGAGATCAGGACATGGAGATCAACTGTACTTCAATTTATAAACAAAAATTGTTGTTTTGGTTGTAAAATTTCTTGTACTGATGAAAAAAATAAAACAACAAGTGTTATTGATCTAAACAGATTTGTTTTCATTGACCTATATGTAACATGAAACATCGTACATCTTTGTTGAAGAAAACTATGACTTTTACAAAAATAAGTCAGAAGTGATTGTCATCATTATGATAATAAAAGTGTAACTATGTGCCTAAGCACACTTTATCAATGACCTTGACATAGTTTCCAAATGCAAAGTAGTAAAGAGTTTCCTCACGGGGTTTTATTTGATACTGGTCTGGAACTTGAGATAAAAAGAATTAGAAATAAATGGAGTTTTTAACACACCACACAAATAAATCCTAAAAGTCTACAATCAATTTTCAAACATTTTACTTCCTGGTTTTAAAGTTAAAGCTATTTTCTTGTTTAGATTTCTAGGATTTCTCATAATATGCAGACTCTTCTATCAATTCATACAGATATATACCAATTAATGTGGACAGCAGACGTGCTGTATGTTATTCTTACAAAAAATGTATCCCTCCCCACTCTGATCATATACGATATGTATGTATCAGTGATAATGGGATTTATTGATTTGAGTCAGCTATACTGTAAACCAACTTATTTTCATGCACTTTATTTCGTGTTTAGCCCTTTCCAGCCGACTTCTCTGTGATTTATTTTCACAATTTTCACAATTTCCTGAATATCTTGATGTAATCATATAAGGGAAGACCCAAGTGTTACATATTCAAGACCATTTATATTTGAGTTATTTTTCTAATCTGGAAAGTAGTGAAAATAAGTTGGTTTACAATAATTCAATGATAATTTGATAAAATTTCACAAAGAAAAGACAACTTGTTTCCACTGTATCTATGTTAAACCATATTTGTATTTAAAGGTTTCCATTCTTTGCTGTGACTTTTGTAAAGCTTCTTGTTTTTCTTCCTCTGTATAACCACGAAACTCCATCAATGATTGATGTTGTCTCTCTCTCTCTCTCTTTGTCATGTAAACACCTTTATTGAATTGTTCCCAAGCTTTCTTTCTTCCATAGGATTTCGTTTTGATAAGTGCATATACAACTGCCTAAAAACAACAGATACATGACTTATAATCATTTCAGAGTTTAATTGAAAAAAGGTTTTGAGATCAAATAATTAGACAATAGACCTTCAGCAAGTATTAATTTAGCATGTTTGGTATATATGTACAATCATTTACTAAAAACTTTCAGATTTACTTTTTACACCTTTACACAAACTTCAAAGACTGATCTTAAAACATCTTTTAGATTCCTTAAAAATGGCAGTGCTGAAAGTTTAGGTCAGTTAATATTTCTGTAACTAGTTGATAAATTTTTTGGAAAATTTTCGACACATAATCCCTGCTTAACATACAAATCAAACGTGGAGAATTGTCAAAAGCATTTCATTTATTGAAATATTGAAATTATATAGATGACGGTATAGATTTCCTTGGTTTTAATTTGAAAATAGTAGTGTGTTGTATGACCATGATATAAACAACTTCATGTCACAGCATCTTACCTCAGGTATCCATCATCCAGAACATAGGAAATATCCGGGATATGCTACCTCAGGTATCCAAACATCCAACACATACGAAATATCCGGGATATCTTACCTCAGGTATCCAAACATCCAGAACATAGGAAATATCAGGGATATCTTACCTCAGGTATCCAAACATCCAGAACATAGGAAATATCAGGGATATCTTACCTCAGGTATCCAAACATCCAACACATAGGAAATATCAGGGATATCTTACCTCAGGTATCCAAACATCCAGAACATAGGAAATATCAGGGATATCTTACCTCAGGAATTCAAACATCCAGAACATAGGAAATATCAGGGATATCTTACCTGAGGTATCCAAACATCCAACACATAGGAAATATCAGGGATATCTTACCTCAGGTATCCAAACATCCAACACATAGGAAATATCAGGGATATCTTACCTGAAGTGTCCAAACATCCAGAACATAGGAAATATCTGAGATATCTTACCTCAGGAATTCAAACATTCTGAACATAGGAAATATCAGGGATATCTTACCTCAGGTATCCAAACATCCAGAACATAGGAAATATCAGGGATATCTTACCTCAGGAATTCAAACATCCAGAACATAGGAAATATCAGGGATATCTTACCTGAGGTATCCAAACATTCTGAACATAGGAAATATCAGGGATATCTTACCTCAGGTATCCAAACATCCAGAACATAGGAAATATCAGGGATATCTTACCTCAGGTATCCAAACATCCAACACATAGGAAATATCAGGGATATCTTACCTCAGGTATCCAAACATCCAGAATATAGGAAATATCAGGGATATCTTACCTCAGGAATTCAAACATCCAGAACATAGGAAATATCAGGGATATCTTACCTGAGGTATCCAAACATCTAACACATAGGAAATATCAGGGATATCTTACCTCAGGTATCCAAACATCCAACACATAGGAAATATCAGGGATATCTTACCTGAAGTGTCCAAACATCCAGAACATAGGAAATATCTGAGATATCTTACCTCAGGAATTCAAACATTCTGAACATAGGAAATATCAGGGATATCTTACCTCAGGTATCCAAACATCCAGAACATAGGAAATATCAGGGATATCTTACCTCAGGAATTCAAACATCCAGAACATAGGAAATATCAGGGATATCTTACCTGAGGTATCCAAACATTCTGAACATAGGAAATATCAGGGATATCTTACCTCAGGTATCCAAACATCCAGAACATAGGAAATATCAGGGATATTAACATCCAGAACATAGGAATTATCAGGGATATCTTACCTGAGGTATCCAAACATCCAGAACATAGGAAATATCTGAGATATCTTACCTCAGGAATTCAAACATCCAAAACATAGGAAATATCAGGGATATCTTACCTCAGGTATCCAAACATCCAGAACATAGGAAATATCAGGAATATCTTACCTCAGGTATCTAAACATTCTGAACATAGGAAATATCAGGGATATCTTACCTCAGGTATCCAAACATCCAACACATAGGAAATATCAGGGATATCTTACCTGAAGTGTCCAAACATCCAGAACATAGGAAATATCTGAGATATCTTACCTCAGGAATTCAAACATTCTGAACATAGGAAATATCAGGGATATCTTACCTCAGGTATCCAAACATCCAGAACATAGGAAATATCAGGGATATCTTACCTCAGGAATTCAAACATCCAGAACATAGGAAATATCAGGGATATCTTACCTGAGGTATCCAAACATTCTGAACATAGGAAATATCAGGGATATTAACATCCAGAACATAGGAATTATCAGGGATATCTTACCTGAGGTATCCAAACATTCTGAACATAGGAAATATCAGGGATATCTTACCTCAGGAATTCAAACATCCAGAACATAGGAAATATCAGGGATATCTTACCTCAGGTATCCAAACATCCAGAACATAGGAAATATCAGGAATATCTTACCTCAGGTATCTAAACATTCTGAACATAGGAAATATCAGGGATATCTTACCTCTGGTATCCAAACATCCAGAACATAGGAAATATCAGGGATATCTTACCTCAGGTATCCAAACATCCAGAACATAGGAAATATCAGGGATATCTTTCTTTGGTAATTCATAAAGCCAATCTTTTAATATTTCTACAATTTCTTCTTCCTAAATGACAAATGTGTAATTATAAATATCTTACTTTTACTACACATTTATATATTATATAATTTTAGATTTTTCCATTATTTTAAGTGTTAAGTTTTGTCAATTAACACACATTGCAGCTCTGGAAAATCAAGCTTTCTTGTTAGAGAAGAAATTTAAATCCTGGGCCCTCGGTCATAAAACTTTACTCAGTACTTAAGAGTACAAAACATGTGCTCATAAGACTAAATCCAGTATTTTGGTTGAATTCAGAGTCCGAGTACGATAACCTTACTCCAAATTTTATGACCGCAAGACCTGGTACTCTGGGATTTGTCAGTGAAAGGGTTAATTGTATTGAATTAACAAAAAGCATTTAAGTGTACTTTGTAATGCATCAGTTAATATTTGAGATATTTTAATCTTATGATTTCAAGGTTAAATGATATCAATAATTACTTAAGGTTTGTAATACTGTCAATATATAATAGGGAGATGTGGTATGATTACCAATGAGACAACTATTCACCAAAGACTAAATGATGTAGGTGTTAGCAACGATAGGTTGATGTATGGCCTTCAACAATGAGCAAAACCCCCACCACATAGCAAGCTATAAAAGGGCCTGACATAACAAAATGTAAAACAATTCAAAAGAGAAAACCAACAAATAAACTGTTGACACAGAGATATGTCACGTCTGTCAGCATAAAATTCAGAAAAAGACAATCTGATGGACAGCAATATTGCTAATTAACTGAAAGTCACTGGACCATGAACTTAAAGGCAGGTCCTAGAAATGGTCAACAAACTGAGATGTACAAACAGTAATGTAACTTTATAGAAAATATCGTTGTCTATTGTAAGTATCAAACTAACTTAAGCAGAAAACTGAACATTGAAAATTGCTAATTAATTAAAAGTCACTGGACCATGACCTAGGGAATATCTGATATGTACTGATAGTAATGCAACTTCATACAAAATATCATTGATCTATCACAAGTAGTTCTTATCAAATTAACTTAAGCAGAAAACTTGACAATTGTTGACACCATTGTCGCCGGAAAAGCAATATGTATATCTTGTCTTCCTCGACTTTTGTCTCAGGCAAGACAAAAACAACAAACGAAAAACAAATATCATATACAGTAACAAAAACAACCACTGAATTACAGGCTCCTGACGTGGGACAGGCACATACAGAATGTGGCTGGTTTAAACATGTTTCTTGGTGCCCAACCCTCCTCCTAAGTGTACATTATTATTTTTTTGTTTTCTATATTTTAGTATTATAGCATACCTGTTCTTCATTGTAAATTGGACCAAACCCTGCATACCGTAGACTATTTTTTTCCTTTACTGTGCCCCGAACAAACTTTTGATGTAATTCACTCTTCCTTTTTCCATAAAAAATATCCAACAGATAATTCTGAAATTTCAAATTGTAAAACAAAATTATTTCACTAAACCTGCTTTCAAAATTTTCTTGATTAGTTAATTAAAGTATAAATAGCAGCTGTAGAGCCTCAAATATATATTCTTGTCATTACATGTTATTTTTATCTAAAAAAATTCTCAAGTTTTAAAAATGATTACCAGCCAAACTTCTATCTGACTTGATCACAAAAAGTAGCATATACATACAAATACATGTAAATTATCACATTAAATCATTTCTTTACATATTTTATTGAAGACAGTTGTTGGAAGCATTCTAATATTAAAACGCAAAACAAATCAGGAAACTTGCATTTAAATCAGGTATATATTTCTGTAATTGTAACTAATATTTTCATTACTTTTATCTCCATTTTGATTTTTATTAAGAGCTGTTCATACCTTCATTTCTGCAGACTTTACAAAGTCCACCAGTTTTGATTGTTTCTCTGTCATTTTTCTTAATCTGCAACAAGATATAAATTATTATGTACATTTACTGTATAATATATTCAAACTTAATATTTCCTAATTTGATTTTCTTTACAAATAAAATGCTCCGCTTGGCGCAGCTTGATACGACCGCAGAGGTCGAACCCTGAACAGTTGGGGCAAGTATGGACACAACATTCAAGCTTGATACAGCACTGAATTTGGATTGTGATTAAATATTTGACACAGCATAGGTTTCTGACACAGAATGAATGTGGTCTAAGAACTTAAATTTTTTTAATTTACCTTTTCAAACCATATCATTATTATTTGCTTTTATATATCAATCAGAAATAACCAGCTTAAAATGGAAAATTTTAAAGAAAAAAAAATGAAAAAAATATCCCCCCAAATTTTTTGAACCCCCTTAAGATTCATCATCCCCAACCTCAATCCCAGCCTTCCCTTTGTGGTATGGTACCTTGTAGTACAATTTCAGAGAGATCCATACACTTGAACACAAGTTATTGTCTGGAAACTAGAAAAATGCTTATTTTTGGCCCCTTTTTCCTAAACATTTTGGGCAATTACCCCCAAACTCAATTCCAGCTTTCCCTTTGTGATATGGAACCTTGTAGTACAATTTCAGAAAGATCCATACACTAACACACAGCTTGATACGACCACAGAGGTCTAACCCTGAACAGTTGGGGCAAGTATGGACACAACGTTCAAGCTTGATACAGCTTTGCATTTGGATTGTGATTAAATATTTGACACAGCATAGGTTTCAGACACAGAATGAATGTGGTCTAAGAACTTAAAAATTTTAAATTGGACATTCACCTATTATGGTCCAATATCCAAAATCTAAATACATGGTTAGATTCAGCATATCAAAGAACCCCAAGAATTCAATTTTTGATGAAATCAAACAAAGTTTAATTTTGGACCCTTTTCACCTCAATGTGGACAAAGTTGATAACTGGGCCCAAAAATCAAAAATCTAAATACATGGTTAGATTCAGCATATCAAAGAACCCCATATATTCAATTTTTGTTGAAATCAAACAAAGTTTAATTTTGGACCCCGATTTGGACCAACTTGAAAACTCAGCCCATAATCAAAAATCTAAATACATGTTTAGATTCAGCATATCAAAGAACCCTAAGAATTCAATTTTTGTTAAAATCAAACTAAGTTTAATTTTGGACCCTTTGGACCTTAATGTAGACCAATTTGAAAACGGAACCAAAAATTAAGAATCTAAATACACGGTTAGATTCGGCATATCAAAGAACCCCAATAATTCAATTTTTGATGAAATCAAACAAAGTTTAATTTTGGACCCTTTGGACCTCAATGTGGACCAATTTAAAAACGGGGCCCAAAATCCAAAAACTAAATACACGGTTAGATTCAGCATATTAAAGAACCCCAAGAATTCAAGAATAAAACCCCATTGAAATTGGTCAAGAAATAAGCAATTTATACGAAGTATCTTCTTTTGCACAATACTGTGCAATTAAATATTTCTTGCTATTGCGCAATACTGTACAATTGACAATTTCTTGCTATTGCGCAATATTGTGCTATTGGATATTTCTTGCTATTGCGCAATACTGTGCAATTGAAGATTTCTTGCTATTGCGCAATACTGTGCAATTGAAGATTTCTTGCTATTGTGCAATACTGTGCAATTGAAAATTTCTTGCTATTGCACAATACTTATTATATAATAATTTACACATCCTGTTTGGTGTGTTTCTCCTACCATATCATTATTATTTGCTTTTAAATATAAATCAGAAATAACCAACTTAAAATGGAAAATTTTAAAAGAAAAAAAAAAGGAAAAAAAGAAAAAAAAAGGGAAAAAAAAGGGAAAAAAAAAAAATCCCCCCCCAAATTTTTTGAACCCCCTTATGATTCATCACCCCCAAACTCAATCCTAGCCTTCCCTTTGTGGTATGGTACCTTGCAGTACAATTTCAGAGAGATCCATACACTTGAACACAAGTTATTGTCTGGAAACTAGAAAAATGTGTTTTTTGGCCCCAAATTCATAAACAAGTAGGGCAATTACCCCCAAACTCAAACCCAGCTTTCCCTTTGTGATATGGAACCTTGTAGTACAATTTCAGAAAGATCCATACACTTACACACAAGTTATTGTCCTGAAACTAGAAAAATGCTTGTTTTTTGCCCCTTTTTGGCCCCTAATTCCTAAAATATTGAGGCAATTACCCCCAAAATCAATCCCAGCCTTCCCTTTGTGGTATGGTACCTTGCAGTACAATTTCAGAGAGATCCATACACTTGAACACAAGTTATTGTCTGGAAACTAAAAAATGCTTATTTTTGGCCCCTTTTTGGCCCCCAATTCCTAAACGTTTCGGCAATTACCCCCAAACTCAATTCCAGCTTTCCCTTTGTGATATGGAACCTTGTAGTACAATTTCAGAAAGATCCATACACTTACACACAAGTTATTGTCATGAAACTAGAAAAATGCTTGTTTTTTGCCCCTTTTTTGGCCCCTAATTCCTAAAATTTTGAGGCAATTACCCTTAAAATCAATCCCAGCATTCCTTTTGTGATATGGAACCTTGTGGTACAATGTCAGAGAGATCCATACACTAACACACAAGTTATGTCTGGAAGTTACAAAAATGCTTATTTTTGGCCCCTTTTTGGCCCCTAATTCCTTTACTGTTGGTACCATAACCCCCAAAATCAATCCCAACCTTCCTTTTGTGGTATTGAACCTTGTGGTAAAATTTCATAGAGATCCATTCACTTAAACTAAAGTTAGAGTGCAAAAACCAATGTGTCTTCGGACAACGCCGGATGACGATGATGACGACGACGCCAACGTCATACCAATATACAACCACAAAAATTTTTTTGCGGTGGTATAAAAATGCTTATTTTTGGCCCCTTTTTGGAATTTTGGGTTCACAATGCTCTTCAACTTTGTACTTGTTTGGCTTTATAACTATTTTGATCTGAGCATCACTGATGAGTCTTATGTAGACGAAACACACGTCTCGCATTTGGCCCCTAATTCTTTAACTGTTGGTACCATAACCCCCAAAATTTATCCCAACCTTCCTTTAGTGGTATTGAACCTTCTGGTAAAAATTTATAGAGATCCATTCACTTAAACTAAAGTTATTGTCCGGAATCTAAATGCGTCTTCGGACAACGCAGACGACGACATGATAGCATTATACAATGCAAAACATTTTTTGCGGTCGTATAAAAAAAATCAAACAATAAAGAATTGAATTTTTTAACATTTATCTCAACCTAAGATAAGATCCATTATCAAGTACTAGTATGGTTTAAAATTCACGATTTCAAATGACCAACTCTTAATTTTCATGTCCTTAATCAAGACTTTCCATGAAATTAAATGTATGTAAGGGAAATTTTTTGTGTTTTTATTTTAATTCCAAAAGTAGCAATAAAAACCCCTCAAGAAAATTTGCCCATACAATAAAAACAGAAAATACTAAAATCAAACAAGTGATGTGAACAGGAGATAGGTCTATTTCACTCACTACAAGTTTTAGAGAGAAATTTGATCTTTCATCCTCTGATATGCATTATTTAAAAGATTAGTAAGTGGGAAAATTTAACTCACAAATCTTTTTCATAGTCTGATCACTGCCATAATTATGGCCAGCTGAAAAATTCTTAACAAAATAAACTCAACATTTTGATGCAAGTGTTTGCCTATGAAATACATTTACTTCATTTCAGTAAATATAAGAACAGTACCAATTTCCCCCATGTTGCACATATTTTATCTGTTCAAGGGCAATAACTATTTAAAAAAAAGTTAATGGTTCTTTTAAACTTTTTATAAATATCTTAAGAGAAATATAGGCTTGAGAGAACTTTCAATGCAATTTTTCATAAATTAATATTTCCGAAGGGGCATAACTCAATAATAGTTGATCTGCACTAATTTTTCAAACAAATTCGAGACATTTTGATATAAATTTCATAAATATCTGGCAAGAACTGTACAAGTGAGATCACCTACAATGCAATTTTCTATTGAACTTATATTTCCAAAGGGCATGCTGAAACATTTTCCATATAAATATTTCCAAGGGACATAAATCTTTTAAAATTAGAAAAACAGCACTGATTACTAATTTGTCAGAGACATTGCTGATATAAATTTCTAAATATATGCAAAGTATTATACACTTGAGAGCACTTACGAAACTGGACAACGCCCAGTACTTCTATCTCCCCTGCAATGTCCACAGGGGACAAAATAGTACATCAATTTTTATTAAGAAATACCTCTCTATTTCTTTTGCTGAAGGTTCCAGAGAGTGATAATTTGGCAAGGGACTATTAGATAGTATATCTTCTGAGTCACTGAGTCTGTTTTCAGTATCAGATGAGTTTGGTCCACAGTTTATCTGCAAATTTGAATCACTGTCTACCTCCTCTTCATCTGTAATTAAAACTTTTTTTTCAAGGATGTTTTAAGTCTACTGTTTCTAATGAATCACTATTTTAGATGGTTTTCAAAATCTGTATAACTCTACCTTTATGCTTTTTTTGGTATATTTATACTTTTTCTGTTATTTGAATTTTGACCTTCCTGTTTTTCAACTTTATAAAAGTTAAATGTTATCATTATCATATTTATTCAAATAGAACAACATTTTAGAAATATTATTCCTGTTGCATTATATTTACAATTAGTTTTTACAAAATTTCTTTTATACAAACCATCGCTTTCTCTGCTGAAAAAGGAGAATTCCTCTTTGTTCAGTGATGACAATGCCCTCTGGTGGAGAAAACTCTCTGCCTTCTCACATGCTTCAGTAAACCTCCTTCTCATCTCAGGATCAGGTATACTCTCTCCCTGGTCCTGTAAAATGTAATTCACTGTCTTAATTTTCAATTTGATACCATATTTAATTTTTAGGGAGGAAAAGGGGGGGTGTCTTAACCTTAACTGGTACAAATAATTCAACTTATTTTCAAATATTGTTATACATTTAAATAATAGTTTATGGTAGTATTTTGTTAAATTTTATATTGGATACTATAAATATTTGATTTACCAGTGAGGGTTAACCATCTATAGATTGAGATGGATAAGAACCTCTATTTTTATCATTGTGACTTTCATCACATTCAATTAAAAAATAGGGTATGCATATCTATGAACATTCTTCTTGCAATCATTATTTCCTTAGCTCAAAATCCCTGATGAAAGAAATATTTTTGCTTGGATGTTCAAAGACAAATATACCTGAGACCTTACATGTTAACCTATGAGGTATATTTTTTGTGGCGTCAGAGGATAGTACAATAGCAAATCACATTTTCTAAAAGTAAGAAGCAACTTACAATAAACTTTTGTTTCTGTTTATCGATGAATGGAAGAACAGTCTTACATCTATATGTTACTCTCAGTCTAAAAAAGAAAGATGAAATAATTTTCAGGAGTTACATAACATATCTTTTAAATTTTTAGGCACTTTACATAAAACAAGAGGCTCATGAGAGCCTGATATCACTCACCTGTAATTTCAGTTTCAGGCATGTGACTTATTTGTAGATCTTACTTTGCTGAACAATTTTGTCATTTACACTTTCTCTCTACTATAATAATATTAAAGATAATACATAACCCAAAACTGAAAAATTTCATAAAAATTAACTATTTCTGGACAGTAACCCTACAATAAGTTGTCCTATTGGTCTGAAGATTACTTGACAGGTAGATCTAAACCTGTTTAACACTTTCACCTATGTCAGTTTTGCTCTTACTGCTTTAGTTTTTGAGATGAAAGCCAAAAACTTCATTTGACCCCTATGTTCTATTTTTAGAAACTTCCGCCATGTTTTTGAATGGATCAAATCCCTGAATACAATCTATAAACTAAATACCATAAGGAACATTCAATTGAAGTTATTAAGTATTTGGCCAAGTAGTTTCAGAGAAGAAGATTTTTGAAACAGTAATAAGACTTTCACAAAAAATATAAAAAAAAAAAAGTTTTAAGGGCACTTACTCCTTAAGGGGTGATTTGACTATTGATCATGCTGACTTATTTGGAGATCTTACTTAGCTGAACATTTATTGCCATTTATAATTTCTCTTTATCTATTATAATATTAAAGAAAATAACCAAAAACAGTAAAATTTAATAAAAATAAACTATTTCCAACAGTAACCCAACAATGGGTTGTCGAACTTGTCTGAAAATTTCATAATAGATAGATCATGACCCATTTATCACTTTATCACTTTAACTTCCTTTCACTTTTCCTGTAACTGTTGTAGTTTTTTAGACATACCCAAAATCTGCTTTTGTCCCCCTATGTTCTATTTATAGCCATGGCGGCCGTGTTTGTTGACGAATACAATTTATAAACTAGATACCATAAGGAACATTCAGTTAAAATTTGGAAGAATTTGGCAAAGTAGTTTCAGAGGAGTAGATTTTTAAATATTAGCAAACATGATGAACAAATTGTGTAAAATTGTCTTTAAAGGGCAATAACTCATTAAGGGGTCAATTGACAATTTTGGTCATTTAACTTTTTTGTAGATCTTACTTTGTTGAACATTTTTGCTGTTTATAGTTTATCTGTATCTTCAATAATATTCAAGATAATAACCAAAAACTGCAAAATTTCCTTAAAATTCCCAATTTAGTGGCAGCAACCCAACAATGGGTTGTTCTGTTCATCTGAAAATTTCAGAGCTGATAGATCTTGACCTATTGAACATTTCCACACCATGTCAGATTTGCTCTAAATGCTTTAGTTTTTGAGATATAAGCCAAAAACTGCATTTGCCCCCTATGTTCTATCTTTAGCCATGGCGGCCATGTTTGTTGATGGATCAAAACTTCGGATATAATTTATAAACTAGATTCCCTAAGAAACATTCAGTTAAAGTTTGAAATTATTTGGCCCGGTAGTTTCAGAGGAGAGGATTCTTAAAATAGTTTACACCAACGACAGACGCCAAGTGATGGCATAAGCTCACATGGGGCCCTTTGGGCCCGGTGAGCTAAAAAGGTTTACAGAAAAAAATTTGTAATGGTTTCCGCGGAATCCTGTGTTTCACCTGCGATTGCTGCTGTTAGTGTAAATGTGTAATGTTGACTTAAAAAAAATATGTCCATTTATCAGTAAAATACAGAAAAATGAAAATAAATATTTTCAAAATTGTGTTTGGATACTGTACTTTGGTCATAAACAAGCTTCTGTCCAAATTTTATAAAATTCCAAGTAGGTTTGACAACAAGGTTGGGCGGTAAATACCACCCCCGGTATTTACCAGTGGTATTTACCGGTATTTACCGCCCCGGTCAATACTCCTCAAGTGGTCAATACTGGCAAATACTGGACAATTGAAATTTTCATGGTTCTTTTGACAGATTTTACTATCAATGTTAGTTAAATCTTAGTTGATAGGGGAAATTATTTTAACTTTATTCATATGGCATGATTCAGTTTATAAAAAGGATTGATATTGGTATGTTTTATCAACTATTAGCATGAATAATGACTTATTCAGTTCTTATGGATAATGATATAACATAGTTTAGGTATGGATATAAAATTGCTATATCAGTTATTTCAACATGTATAAAATATGTATATTTTTTTCTTGAAAAGGTTTGATTTTAACAGGTAAATAGAATTACAGGTGACTAGATTATCAGGGCATTACCTATTATATGGCAAGCAGGTGTCAAAAGTTTATTCAATATTACAACTGTCCCCTAATAAATGTTGACATAACAGGAAAAAAGTCATAAAAGTTATTTTTGAAGACTGTTTAAAACAATTATTTTATTCCTGACTATTCAACTGCATGATAAATATCTTCTAAAACCAAATACAGAAAATGGAAATTTTGAAGGATCTATACTTTGGCTGCTGTTTTTCTTTTTTTTTAATTTTATTCTAATAATCACTGTCCATGATGTGTTCATGTAAAAACAGTAAAATTTCAATTTATGTAAGAAAAGATAACATTAAAAAAGTCTAATTTTGACTTGAAAACTTTCATATTTTCATGACTAACAGTTATTGAATGTAGGGCTAAATATCACAGGACAGAAAGTCAATAAGCAATTTTGAAAGAACTGTTTCTTTGATTAAGAAAAGACTAATTTTTAAGACATTGTTTTGTTAAATTTGATGAAATTACTGTTAAGAAAACAAGCTGTCATAGTCTTTTTCTTGACTGGCTTCATGGTACCAAGAAATATCCTTTGTAGGATTAATATTTAATAAATCTTCATTTAACCATGTTCATTATCAATCTCATAAACATTACAATGAATTCATTTCAAGGATTTTCCCTTACATATTAAAAAACTTGTTAACAAATATTAATTGTGACTTTTTGTCCTTTACAATGTAGTAAATAAGTGACTTTCTGTCCTGTGAATATATTTGTCCATTTACCCTGTAGTTGACCAGGTAGGGACTGTATTTAATAGTAATATCTTATCAAAATTTCAATCGACCAGTATTTGCCAGTATTGACCAGTATTTGCCAGTATTTCCCAGTATTTACCGCCGGCCTGGTCAATACTAGTATTGACCGCTTTTTTGCCAACCTTGTTTGACAAAGTTATTGATGTCTAAAAAAAATTAAACCACAGATTGAACTTAAATGTTGACATTGCAGCTTTCGCAAAATAAATTTTTCAAGCTGGACAAAAATCATGTAATTGATAATTGATAAGTATGTGAAAAGTTCAACCTGTAAGATCTTTGAAATATTACAAATATTTACAGAAATTTTACGGTCTAAAGATAGTTAAATTTCAATTTTACTACATAAAAAGACAAAATCTGCATATTTTCACACTCATTTAAGAGAAGGTAATATTGAGTACATGTAAGTTCCACAACAAAATTAGCACGAAATGTGTCACTCAAATAGACAAACATTGTGGTAAATTATCAAGTGGTTTATTGCATGTGCTCTTCATTTGCAGGCCCAAAAACTGTCTGAAAAAAGATCAAAATTTATGCATTTTTCACAAAAACATGTAGAAAGGCCTTTTTAGTGATGTCATAAGGCCTGAGAACACAGTTATTTTGTAGTGCATTTCTTTTAGACAATAAATTCATAATAAAAAAAATCACAGCTGCTCTATCTCAAAAAGATTTTTACAGTGTAGTGTACTACTTCTGGGACAAATAATAATAAAATTATAGATGAGTCTGCCAGCTCTAACTCAAAATATGGACAATTCTATGTTAAGGGGGTCTATAATTCAGTTTGACAGCGTCAGACATACTAATTTTTGACCTTTTTTAACTGGACCAAATCACTTCTTTACATAAAAATTCATCACCCAAATTTTTTTAACATGTATTTTCATCCCCCTACTTAATATTTCATGCATAAAATATAAAGAAATAAATTTGGAAAGTGTAAGAAAAAAAGTTATACACTGTCCACACTAGGGACTTTATTTGTAGACAACGAAAATCAAAGGACGATAATGTGTCCTCAGACCATAACTGCATTTATTGTGACAATTTGGATCCAAAACTACTCTTTTATGAATTTATTTTACCTCAACCTTAAAAACAGACATGAATGGAAATCTTATATCAAAGTTTCAAATTTTAGTAAAAAAGTAGGCTGAATAAGGCATTTATTGCACCATGTCCTTACACCTGATGCTAGACCCCATATACATATATATCTCACACAAAAATTAGGCTAACATTATTTCAAATAAATGTATGTTGACAACCATTTCATATGACTTTTAAGGGAGTCCATATACTTCTATTACAATTACTTTGAATGGCAATGAGTAGAAATGTAACATTCCAAGATGTTTTTCATTCTTACTACTACAATGTAATCTATTTCATTTAGCCAGTTAACACTTATAAGCTCAAGTACCACTTAGCAATGATCAACCATCTCATTCGTTCAATAACCTTGTAACCTAGATATATTATGTTTCTAAATTAACTAACTAATTACCTATTTGGCATTTTAGTACATCCTTCAATGAAGGTAAGAGACAGTTTATGGATTCTCCGCTTTTTTCTGTAGACACGTCTGACCTGGAAGGAAAGAGCATGGATTTCTAGTTTCTACCATATGTTAGTTAGAAAAAAAATATGCAAACACAGAATAACAATGAAAAATTTATTGAATTTAGAGCTATTTCCAGTACTGCTATAAAACAAGGCAATGAAGTCTAGATTAACAGACCTCTGGCTTAAATCATGAACTTAAGTAAAACCAAAATAGAATTTTTATCGGATAGCAACAATATTAACTCCTGAACATACACCTAAATAAAAACCATGTTACCCTACATTCCATATTTACAAGATATTAAGCCAAGACAGAAGGGCAAACCATTAAAGATATCAAAATTTTCCTCTAGGGACAATATGTCTGTATTGCTGTCATGTACTGTTCCCAATTTCAAAATTTCTATGGTGAAAATATCAACAGATAACAAAAAGCATTAGAATGACAAATATAAAATAAGTACTTACGAAAGCAGGCCATGCTGGAAATTTAGACCATATCAACCAGACAATGTCCTTCTCAGCTATAGGATATTCTATAAAAATAATATATATTTTATGCATTTCTATTTTCATTTAATTCTAATTCTTAGGAAATTAAGACCATCATTACATATATAGTATAAAAACATTGTGAAGATTTACTATAAGAAACAGAGGTCAAATTAATTAATACCGTCTATGTAATGTTATAAAAAAAACGTCTATTAATAATAATAATCTATAAACATTTTTTATGCAAGTTATAGTCTACTAAATTGCAGTGTAATTTGTTTGACTATTTGGTTTTTCATTTTAAAACATATCACAAACATATTCAGATCTTTTAATGCTACTTTCAGAGACATTGGTTTTATCATGATGGTCAGTTTTTATTGGTGAAAGAAAGTGGAGCACCCAGAGGCAAACACATACCTTTAGCAAGATTTTCTAATTTCAAATGATTGTTTTTTTACTTTGAAATGTTACTGAACAGAAACCTCATATTTGCCAATATTTAAGAAAGATGGAACGGTAACCATGGTAAATAAATGCAACAGTAGTATACTGCTGTTCGAAACTCATAAATCGATAGAGATAAAAACAAATCCGGGTTACAAACTAAAACTGAGGGAAACGCATCAAATATAAGAGGAGAACAACGACACAACAAAAACACAACATTAAAATGTAACACACACAGAAACAAACTATAATATAACAGTGGCCATTTTCCTGACTTGGTACAGGACATTTTAAGAAAAAAATGGTGTGGGTTGAACCTGGTTTTGTGGCATGCCAAACCTCCCGCTTTTATGGCAATGTTAAATATAACATTAAAATGACAACATTACATGACATGACTACAATACAAATAAATGGGAGAACATATAGGACAATGAAACACACGAATAATAGCTAACAAAAGGTACTAGGTTTAGAATTGGTAACATTTATGCACTTATTACCCTACTGTTGTGGTACTGTAAATTCATTATTATTTGTGGGATACAAATTTTCGTGGATATCGTTGGTACAAGTGAACTCATGTTCAACAAAACAAAAATTTTCTATAGGCTTCTATAAATACATTTTAGATTTTATATCTATAAACAAACAGCTGTTTCTGATCTAAATATAAGTATATTAAGCAAAAATTCATTTGAAATCAATATTCCGCAACATTAGATAATAATAAATTCAAATTCATAAATAAATGCTCAACAATTATGTAATACAAGCATGTATGTGTAATTTGAGATGAATTGTTTGATTTTTACAAAACTTGGAAATTTATGTTCAATTGTAATAAAATATTCAATTGATGTTGGTATCCTTTTGGTTTTATATTAGAAAATATGATGAATGTAGAACTTTTTGCATCATAATATCTACCTAGCACGATTACACTGTTAAATAAGGAATAAGGAGTACATGCACAAGAGACAATAAATCCTTAAAAAAACTAAAGAATTCACAATTTAATCAAAGTAACCTAAAAAAAAAAAAAGACAAAAAACTTTCAGAAAGATTTATATACATAAAGGAATAGCCCTCAAGAAGATCTGTATCTGATGCTATGGCTGATAGGGGAGAGAAGATGATCTATATGAACGCTTACCAGCACCTGTTATAGGTGACAGTCCTTCAGGAAGATCTGTATCTGAGTCTGAACTTGAGTCACATTCATCTTTATCTAAGTTTGGATCAAATCTAGAAGTTGCTCTATAAAAAGAAGATTAAAGATCAACAAATAATTTGTAATAGGGAAGAGTAGAAATATAATTTATTCAATGAAGCATGTGCTACATTATATCTACCATCTACAAAAAATATTAATTGAAAATAAATAAGAGAAGTGAATATCTAAATTCTCCAGAGGAAGGCGGCACCCTTAAATTAAATTTTAAAAAATAAAATCCCATGGAATCAATCATGTAGTTCACTTGCTTCAGAGATATAAACCAAGAATGCAGGCTTGTTGTGGTGCTCAGCATATCCTTACTCTTAATTCAAAGTATCAGACAACTGGAACTAGGTGTCTGACAGATCTGAAAAGCGCAATCACTTTACAACTTATCACTGTAAAGCTGCTGACCAAATACACAATGTATGAAGTTATTCTGTTTGGTAGTATAAGAGAAATGTATGTCAGACGAAAAATATTTTAGGTTAATTAAACATACTGAAAAATTCAATGTATCGACATACCATGCATACAGGAAGTAGGTATCTGAAAGATCGGTAAAGTTCTCAAACATTACAATTGAATGTGCTGACGAAATATGAAGCCATTCTGGGTAGTCATGGTAGTACTTGCTGAGAAAAGTGTGACAAAAATGTAAAGAGGGATAGAAAACGTGATTGCAATTTAGCCCCCACTCCTAGAGTATAATAGGTGAACCATCTTTTGTAGTCCTACGTTTAACCATTTTCTGTGATAGTAGCCATATTGGAAGTCATACAGGGTCATCAGATGAATCAGCCATCTAAAATATTCCTGCCAAAATCAGAACAATTTTTCAGATTATCTGTTACTACTTATAATTCATAATGCAACCCATTGAAAATGCAGACCTATACATGTATAAGTACCCTAGAATTGCAATAAAATAAAAGATATGATATGATTGCCAATGAGATAACTATCTACCAAAGACCAAAAACAGCTGCAGGTCAACAATGAGTTAAAGTTATAATGTATAATAAGCTTAAAAGGGATGACAAAATATGAAATGATTCAAAATAGAAATTTTTGTTTTCTTACTCAATTATTCAAAATCTCTTGTGAACATATTTATATTTGGTGATAATGTACTAACACAAAATAAGACAAAATTGTATAGCAGTTCTAAATAAATTCTTGAAAACATAAAAAAAATACTTACAAGAATGAAGTACAAGTAGCACTCTGACTAAGGCTTGGTGTAGGCAATTCAAATGAATCCTCCCATTTTAAACATTTAGGTGTCTGTGCATTTTCACTTTCTGTTATGGCATCTGATTTAGGAAGTGACTTAGATTTTGGTCGTCCTCTTTTTGGTTTCACATTTTCATTATTTTTCTTCTGGGACAGTTTAGTAAAAGTTTTGATATTATTTTTTGATTGACTAGTTCCAGTAAAATTCTTTTTAATATTGAGCTTTGGCGTAGAAGTTCTGGACAAAACTGGTGGAAACTCTGATTTAAGTACAGTCTTTGAAGTCTCCTTTTTATGCTGCTTTGAATGTTCATTTACATTTTCGTCAAATGTCAATTTACGTTTTTTACCTGGGAAACTTTTTGTCACTTTTGTTTCTTTAGTCTTTATTTTAGCACCATTTACATGAACACTTTTACGTACAATACCTTTTGAATTTTCACTACAATGCAGATTTTCATGGTTAGTAATTCTTGCATTTTTGTTTTCCTCACTATCTGGATTAGGTTTGTCCCAGTTAATTCTTTGCTGTAGTTTTATTGTTTTAAAGGCTTGATAGCATGACTGATTTCGAATGGGCGATTTCTCTGTACCTATTTTATCATGATTTAAATTTTCGCTGGGAACTACTGAAAGACTCTTCGATAAATTTGCATTTGTCAGTTTACAATCACCTTCACTCGGTTTATCCTTTGATGGTGATATGACAGACGCTTTTGTATTTCCATTTACTGCATTGTATGCCATTTTCACAGCTTCAGTAAAAAGATGCTTCCTTTCTTGGTCTGTGATCAAGAGACCTGAATCAGAAATAAAGAAAACTTTTTTTCATCTAAAAATATATAATTTGTACATTAGATTGCCATGTAAACTATGCTGTTTTTGTTTAGATTTTTTGTTGTTTTTTGTTTGGGGGGAGGGGGAAGGATTATGACTGAAACAATACTCTTGAAGTGCCAGTATTCTCAAATAGCAAAGAAAACCCCCATAGCAAACTTTGACAAGAATATACCATTATCAAACTAATGCTGAAATCAAATACACATGTAATGTAGATAAATATTCAGAATTCTATTAATGAAGAGGATAAATATGCTATAATTCATATACATAATATGTTTCATATACATAATATGTAGTAATGTTGCAATGAAAGTTTATTACTGTTTCATTTAACTTGAGCATGCTCAGCCAAAAGTTTGAATACATGTATTATTTTACATATTACATGTATATAACAATTAAAGTATGGCAATACATTAACTATGTAAGATATCACAGGGTAACAACATCACAACAAAATAAGTTAACTTGAAAAACCCCTTCATTTCTATCTAACAACAAGAACAATGTCTACCATGACAGTTGGAACTGATGATCATGAAGGTTGTATGATTTCAGTTTTATGGATACCCCATACCTTTTGTTTCTCTATCATTTATAAAAATTTAGAAGTGAAAGACTTTCCCCAATGAGGTTTGTTTTCATTTGTGTAAGAATAATACTGGGATATAGTGATACCCCTTAACCCCTAAAAGGTTAAATTATAAACATTTTAAAGTAAGCAAAATCATTAGAGAATTTGTGGTTGCAAGTGACTATGAACCCATACACAATTATTTAAAAATTATGAAGTGTCAAAAGCATGAAATAAATTATCCTCATAAAAATTTAATTTGCCATTTCTTCTATCCAAGGTCCAGTTGCTGAAATTGAAGATGTCCTTTTTGGCATGATGATAGAGCTGACAAATATAGATCCAAACTAGCGAAATGTTTTGGGGTTACCCATATTTTTTTGCAATCCAGAAGCATTTCTAGTCTTGATCTAAATTGAAAACTGGATTATCATAGGAGAAAATATAAATATAAATGAATTTTATACAACAAAGCAAAAATGGTATGTCTTGAAGTTGTAACCAACATACTATATTTGAATAATTGAAAAAAATAAAATAAAATAAAACCGTGAAATTCATCTAAAATCAGTATTTCAAACTTTTCTATCAAAATCCTTTCAACCATACCAGAAACTAAATAATTGAGTGGTTATAAATTTTTTAAGCCATTGTGCATTCAATTAAGAAAATTGTTTTTTACAGAAAATCAATCAATTTAACAAATGTAAATAATTAAATATTAATGACGACTAACCAATGCCTTAAAGTTAACTCCCTTACTTACACGACAGAGACAATAGCCACAAAATAGTTTTTGCTAAAACACTGATATTAAATCAAAAATTTCTGACAATTTTCCAACAGTGAAATAATCATACCTTTCCGATAAAACAAGACAAACAAAATATTGAAATATAGGGAAAAACATCTGTCGCGTATCAAAATCTGCTGACAACTCAATATCTAGCTATACACATATATTTCTCTTTATCAATTTGCCTTTTTTCATTTCACTGAATTACAGAATCAATAATACCTCGTACAACAATCTATATCTGCATTAAATAACTGAACATATTAAATAATGATTATGTTAAACCCATTATACTATATTATTTGGGCAGAATTCTTAACTTTGATGTGTTTTCCTGTACTATTGTATTGAAAATAAATCTTATGAAACTTTGGCTTTGATATCTTTATATCAAAATAATCGTACATGTAATAAAAAAAATGAAAGCAAAATCTTATTGAAAATAAATTAAAAAAAATAATCATATTCATTTTTCATCTACATCTACATCTACATCTGAATAATAAAAAGAAAGCACTCACTTATGACAGAAATCCTATAGTAAATTTAATCTTATTTTCCAAGTGAACACCTCAACATAAAAGCAGATAATGTTTTTCGATTATTATATCTTGATGAAAGGAGACAAATGATACATATATCTATCTGTAAGTTAAGTGGTCTCTCAATTAAAGAACTATATATTTCATTGACAAGTATATCACTCGTATCACCACCATTTAGCTATGTCAGACCTGTTTCATAGAGAAAGAATATCATGTCTAAAATAATTGGAACAACCAATTAAAAAAAGTTTTTACTGATTAGTTTTTGATGAGGACCTGTGTTCCTCTTTGAGCTGGTACTGGAGCAAGTGATCTTTCAATGAGGTGTTAGCTACAATTTCAACAGAATAAGATGAAGAAAAAATTATATATATGTTTTTTTTTAATTTTTTTGCTAACATTTAACATTTACAGGAACAGAATACTGAATAACAATTTACTATTTTAAGTCAATTTGGTTCAATTTTGTTAATTGAAGCTGTTTTTCATTCAGGCTAGTTTAAACATGGCTGCCATGGTAAAAAAAATTGAACATAAAGGTAAAATGCATTAAATGTCATATATTTTGAAAATCTGAAAAGGGCAAAAATCAACCTACTTCCTATTTTCACCAAAATTATCAGTTAATGCCCTTATATGATGAACTTTGGCTAATTTTCATGTTTTTGGGCCCATTATCTCGAAAACTATGTATACACAAAAGCTGTAAAAAGCAAAAATGATCAGAATTACAAGATATACAAAAATCCATTTACAACCAAAACCATAGGTCGATGATGATGATCGATGGATGCTTAACGTCCAGCGGCAAATTAATATGCATATTCAGGACAAGAACATGTTAATGTTATATGAATATTTACCCTGCTTTGTACTATACCAACACGCTGAGCCAGATTTTTAATGTGCTAGTTCACAAGGTAACAGTCCGCAGGAAGACATGTCACCTTACCTGGACACATAATTCAGACTCTGAGCTGCCAAAGTCTTTGCTCTTACTCCTTAATGCAGCGTGCTTAGCGGAGAAGCAGCAAATACTAATTTTAAAGTCTTTTATTTGACCCGGCCGGGGTTCGAACCCACGAACTCCCGCACTCGAGGGGAACACACTACCACGAGACCACCGAGGCGGTTCAAGTGATTCGATACTGACATGATCTTTAACATACTTTTTTTAATTCTCTGTTGTTAAATTTAGAAATTATTAAGAATCTAAGGTTCAAACTCCCTTAGAAAAACTTGACCTTAATGAATTTGGCTATTCTTTTTAGGTCCCTTTTGGTCATATGCCCCTCAATTATTCAGGTATTATATATGCATTCTTGGCTTTCAAATTTTTGTGTTAAAGCTTTCCTGATGATGGTATATCCGAAATATAAATAGACATTTTCATATTTCAGACCATAAGTCTTACACCTGTTGAGGAAAACAGAAATGGGTACTTTATTACATCACTGCATTAAACATATCTTTTCATGATATATAAACAATTATTTTTCATAATTTTTTTTGGACATATCCTGCTTTACAATTTCGGATTCTAACTTTTTAAGGAAGGCTGTTACGTACATGTACTTCTAATTAACAACTTGAATATTTTTTAAATCTCCTATTACAAATTTTTGTTTTTGAGTATCCAACCAGAATGAGGAAATCTGTTGCTGTCTCATATTCTATTTCCTTGAAATGTTTGAAAACTAATATTCTGGGAAATCTTATTGGTTTATACTGTATGATATTGTCTATATTGTCACTGAACTTTCCGTGTATACTTATTTTCACAACATAATTAGCATGCTTTCAAATTATCCATTCTCATTTATTTAAATTTCAAAATTAATATTTTATGCTTTTCAAATTTTCAATAAAAAGAATCTGCTCAAATTACAGTTTACCTGTGTGTGAGGTAAAAACATACTGTGAAAACCTATACCAATTAAGTACTTATAATTACCTTTAGAAATGAAGCTATCTTTTTCGACACATTCAAATTTTTTGATTTTGGATGGATTTGTAACTTCTTCTCTGCAATAACAAAATGCATTATAAAATTTATATTTTTATAAGTGTATTTGTATTAATCTAAAAAGAATTCTCTCCCCTTCTTGGGAGCATAGGTTTTAAAATATGATGATCTGAGACAACAATATTTGGTGTCATTGAACAAATTGACATATGACCCCAGTGAAATTATGTAGTTAATGAACACAAAATAAATTTATATGTATAAAAATGTTACCTGTTTATGGCATAACTCCATTAAATATGCTCATACAAAAGCTCTGATCATCTCCACATTGTAATTAGCAGAAGAGCACTTGAAAGTCAAGTTTTCCTCTAATCAAAATTTCAAAGGGTCATAACTCCCATTTAAACTCCCAAAAGGACCAACCAAGGGTCTGAAGGGGTAAAGACAAGGAATGACAAAAAATGTCATGTTTTAACTTATCCTGTATCAAATCAGTCCTAACAACATTTCCAAATGTCAATTGAGTTTGGCAAAGTTCACTTGAAGTTATTAAACAGAACCATTTTGTGAGACAAGGATTAAACCCAATATACATTTCTAAAAGCATAAAACATTTGCTTTGTCTGATACGGCAAATAATCTCCATTGAAATGTGATGTGCTTATTCTAAGACAATTGCATACCAAATATCATTTACTTCATCATAAGTGGTTATCTTTAACTGACCTAATCACAAATTAACAATTTGTTTATGCTGGCACTGCCATTGCCCCCACCCCAAACAAAAAGCATACCTAAGTCTTGCCTATACAACTGGTTGAGATGAGAGGAGAGAAAATTGTACCGGAAAATATATATATTACTTATTGAAAGGGAGACATTTATTGAGTAGCACAGGCATAGCTACTTTGTGAAGATAACATGCTACATTATATTGTATTTAGAATTAAGAGTACCAGAGTTCTCAAAAAATAGTGGTCCAAAGGTTTTGTATACCAGCATTCGCAAAAGACCCAGATATTTTTTGTATTTTGCAATAGAAATAATAGTAAGGACTAGCAAATTTTCCTCAACGACCACCAAGGAAAAAAAGATTTTTGAGAACTCTAGAGTACGACTTATCCTGATTGGTTGTTGTGAGCAGCTGATGTTTATTTATTACTAGACACCTTGTGGACTCTTCCGTATACGAAAGGCATAATATTATATCTGTTACTGTAACTGACATTTATTTTTAAGAGCAGAAATGATAGACAATGGAGAAAACTAAACAATCTGTAAAGAAAAGCTACATGACCCCACACATGTATTTTTGGGATTGAAAAACATTTACCAAATAGGTTTTCTTTATTGATTAAATAAGATTTCATTAATAAACCCACTTTAGAGAGATCGTATCTTAATAAGTGTATTCATTGATACTTGCCTAAAGGATAGATAATTGTATTTTGCATTCTAAAAATCTGCTGTCCATTCTTATGAATATTAATACAAGAAAATTCGTAAGGGTTCCGCGGAACCCAGTGTCTCGCCTACTTTTGCTGTTAATTGCAGGCTCAACAAAAATGAGGAAAAAAATTAATAAAAATATTCCTTTCTATACCATCTTTTGATTGTAAGTAGCTTCTGTCCAAGTTTGGTACAAATCCAGGATAGTTTATGAATCTAATAAATGTTTTAAAAACTTAAACTGCAGACTGTATGTAATGTTAACTGGAAGAAAAACTAAGTCCATTTATAAGTAAAATACGGAAAAAATTGAACAAAATTTTAACAAAATTTCCTTCTAGATACTAGCTTTTAATCATAAACAAGCTTCTGTCCAAGTTTGGTACAAATCCAGGATAGTTTAAGAAAGTTGCTAAAATTTTAAAAACTTTAACCACAGAGTGAATGTAATGTTAACTGGCAGAAAAACTAAGTCCATTTATAAGTAAAAAATGGAAAAAATGGAATTTTTTTTTTACAAAATTTACTTCTGGATACTATCTTTTAATCATAAACACGCTTCTTTCCAAGTTTGGTAGAAATCCAAGATAGTTTAAGAAAGTTATTAAAATTTCAAAAACTTTAACCACAGAGTGAATGTAATGTTCTTGGCAGAAAAACTAAGTCCATTTATAAGTAAAATACAGAAAAAATGGATTTTTCTTTTTACAAAATTTACTTTTGAATATTATTTTATTATCATAAACAAGCTTCTGTCCAAGTTTGGTAGAAATCCAGGATAGTTTAAGAACGTTATTAAAATTTCAAAAACTTTAACCACAGAGTGAATATTTGTGGACGCCGCCGCCGACTACGCCGACGCCGACGGAATGTAGGATCGCTATGTCTCGCTTTTTCGACAAAAGTCGAAGGCTCGACAAAAATGATCTATTTAACCCTTTCCTCTATGAAGATTTTTTTTTACATGCATACTTTGTTTCTTGTAGGATATTGCAATAAAATGTTGAAAGTAAGCTTACATTAATGAAATATTTACTGAAAAAAGTCGCTTTTTTCTTTACTAAAAAATAAGCAGAAAACTGATAATTTAGCTTTGATGAAAATTTTCATTCATCTGAAACAGTAATCAAAGGAGTAGAGCCAGTTACACCAATAAATGTCCCTGAAAAGGTATTTTTCAAACTTCAGTTGTTTGAATAAATCAAATGTGTATGTGTTGCTAAATGTATTATGTTTTAAAAAGTAAATAACAAAAAAACGAACTCCAAGGAAAATTCAAAACGGAAAGTCCTTATCAAATGGCAAAATCAAAGGCTCAAACACATTAAACGAATGGAAAACAACTGTCATGAAAGTATAATAAGAAAAAATTATATATCTGCTTCATATATCATATAAATATAAGCCTGAAATAGAAATTTCTTTCTTTCTTTTTTACTCCATTTTAAAGAAAATTGTCACTTTTTTCTACCTTATTTCATAATTTTTTATGTTGAGCCACTCCTCACCCATTGAAATTATGCAAGTTATTTATAAATTCACCTACATTTATTGGTTGGTTGGTTCAAATCTTCTCTAACATACTTTTTTATCAAATTTTCACAACATTATCACAGTTAAAATTTTTCAGATTTTTAGGGCCAAAATTATGACTGAGTGAACCAACTCCTTAAGCTGCCTATTAATTGACCTTTTAACAAGTTTGAACAGATTTCAATACTTGTACCAACATATGTTGCATAACATAATGATAAAAAGCCTACAGATCAATATAATGAATACCTTTCTGACCTTCACATCTTTCAACAATGTAAAACAGCATCAAAGGTCAAGTAAAGTATACACTACATAAATTATGTTTCTAAGTGGTTTTTTTCAGATTAATTTTTGCAAACACATTTCTTTTCCCACTTTGCTAACATTTTTTATCATTATTTTATATATTCATCTGGTTTCTCTCCAAAATTTAATAATTTTTAAAAATTTTCTTCATTCCAAAGTATTAATGAGTAAAAACAAGTGTGCAGATGCTGAAATGTCTCGCCTGTTTTACCTATCATTGAATTCATGTTGAAAGACTGTAATATGAAGGTTTTGCTAAAAGTATCACATAAACTTAACTTTATCAATATTCTAGGAAAATTAAGTTCACGGTCAGATGAACCATGACAGACAGACATGTACACCTTACTTTCATTCAAATGTTAAAAACTTGAGATGTATTTCTTACTTGTATTTTATTTTTATTTTCATTTACTCATTTTTCAAATGTTAAAATTTGTTATAATTTGAGACGATTTCTTACTTGTATTCTATTTTCATTTTCGTTTACTCATGTTTCAATTACAATTTAGGCATATTAATTATTCTATTGATGAAATGTACTAAAAACAAAGAAAAGTCCGGCACACTGTTCACTAACATGGTAACACCCCTTTAATTTTTAATACATTTTCAAAAAGCCTTTGATGACAGAATTTACTAGTAGGCATACCTTACAGTTATCTAGGGAAATTAGTTTTCAACCTCTAAAATTTTTTAGTCTGCCCTTCCATAAATTATTTAAATACATTTTTTTTTGTATTTTTGAACAAATATCCCCCTGAAATACAATCAGACAATAGTTGTAAGTTGACAAAAGGCCTTAAAGTACTTTAAATTATGCTTTATAGCTAGTAGATACATTTGTCATGTTAAGATCATAATGATGACATGCAGATTAATTTATTCAATGGCTTCCATTTTCACAATTGAAAAAATTATGTGGTGTCAGGGGGGGATAATTTTGACAAAGTAGAATTCTGACTATTCTCACTTTTATTTTGCATAAAAAAAGGAAAAGTTTCTTAATTTCAGCACATAGCACATGTATATATACATGTTTATTTATACAAATCACAGTTTTACTAAGCTTTGTCTTAACAAGCTCTTATAAAGAATTTATACATACTGACTTGAAAGCTCCTTAAAATAATTGAAATAAATCTTCTGGTATTTACTTTTTATCCAATAAAAATGGCAGCTCATTTCAGTTAGTACCAATAACAATAAATCCAATCTATACTTACATATACTCTTCATTAAAAAATTTGACTGACAAGACATTAGGCATCTTCTCTTGGTCTGTACTGTCTGGATTGTCATCTGTAACTACCTACAATAGTACAAAGGTACCCGGTTATTTATATGAAACTTTAGAGATAATAAGGCATCCATACCGTTATAGATCATGTGATCTCTTCACAGACCAGAAAACATGAAGTGTAAATTTCTGTTAACTTTGACTAATTATGGAAAGAGTAGTGAATACTGTTGATTCATTTATTTTCGTGGGTACCGATTACAAAAATTGTATTTTCGTTGATATTTGATTTTGCGGTTTTGCCAATGTCTTCATACATGTATAAACCTATAGATAATTAGTACTTCATCGAACATTGAAATTCGTGGTTCACCTACAGCTATACCCACAAAATACATGAAAATTGGTATCTCACTAACAAGAATGTATCCACAGTAATCAGTCTATTAAAGTTTAAACTTAATCCAGGGGTTTATAGGGGCGTTTTTGAAATGGTCCTTTTTTGTTACGTCAAAACCAGGTCATTTGGAAATAAAAAAATTGTCGAGTAATGTGACAGTTTCAGGACTTATTGAATTTGATTATGGGTCCTCTTAGCATATTTAGCAACAACTTTTGAATACAAGAAATTCCCATGTAATTTATCGCTACCCAAATTTGAACTTGATCTGAGTTTTGTTTTCAAACAGTGTCCAATCTAACAGTGTAATGGGTAAATTATGAAAATTTACCTGTGCTGGCCACCATGGGAACTTTGAAATCTTAATCCACACCACTTCTTTGTCCTTGTAATCCATCATGCCATTCAGCCTAGATTGATAAAACATGTTAGTATAAGTATTGAGCTGATTCACAAAGTAGAATTCTAAGATAATCAGCTAAATTAGAGGTGATGTAAAATCCTACCAAGGTAACATTTCAGATCAAATTACGTTGTGATTTCAAATTATCAGTGAAAATTTCACAAAAAAATAATGCTAATGTATTGACCAACCTTTTTGTAGTTAAAAATGTAAGGTGAAATCAACAGCATGTATAAACTCACACTGAGAATTTGAAACTCTCTACAAAATTCCTTCAGACTGCCATTTCCATATTATTGAGTTTGTAAAATGTATATCTAGGGAGAGATGTCTATGTCAATGTATATAGGAACCATAAAAAGGTATATATTATGTATATATAAATCTCTCATGAGAGGAACATTGCATGTGAAGTAAGATGATGTAGACATTTAAGACTATTGAATACAAATTAGCGTTACAAAGTATACATGAAAAATCTACACATGACCAATGCAAAATTTCGCAAAAAACTAAGCAAATGTATTGACCAACCTTGACAAGGGATTGCATTTTATAGTTATTTTTAATCCTTGGCCATACAACACACTGTACATGACGAGAATAGACATCTGTATCTTATTGCATTGTATTCTATTATGGGATGAGTACAAGTCTTCTTTCCATTTCACATTTTTAAAGAATATCAAACAGTAGATAAACATTTATGTATAGATATTTTTTAACATTACACTCTTTGTACTTGTAAATTATTGATGACATCCTTATTCGGTAAGGAATAATGTTGTATATCTTCAGTTTAAGTAGCCATAAAATTCATGGACAGATCTTCAACTACATACATGTACTTTAAAGGATTTCATATTTACTTCTGGGTCCACAAATCAACTTTTAACAACAGTTTTCTGTACAATAATAAAAGAAAAACTGTTTGAAATTTCTTCAGGTCTAAGAAGAGATTAAATTTGAATCTATTACCAGATTATTATTGTTCATGTATCAATATTGTAACAATATAATGAAGAGCTTAAGGCTAAGTGTTTACATCTATATATCAGTTTATCAAAAACAGAATAGTGCTTTGTTTGTAATCAGTTTTTTTGCTATTATTGCTCATAAATACTTTTAAGTATTATTTTTATAAGTTTATAAATGTATTTTAACAATTTTTGTTTGTAATTTATTTACATGTAGAGTCATCCATCAGTCCATCTCAAATTTCTCATTAAAAAAACAACAACGCCATATATAAACACAATATAAAAAATTTCCAGTTAATTAAACAAATATTTTGTCAATCCAATATAGAAATCAAATTCTAAGTCAGATTTATATTGATTTAAAAAGTGTAAAAAAAATACCCTGACCATAGTGTTATAAAAAATACAGGCCAAACGGTCACCTATAATTGCTTACATCCACTTCATTTGAACTTTGGTGGATAGTTGTCTCATTGGCAATCATACCACATCTCCTTATTTTTATATAAACAGACTGTTAACTTCTTAATTAAGGAAAAGTTGAAATTCTTAGCATCAATTCACAACATTTTCCATGTATATCTAGGGAGAGATGACCATATTGCAACCATAATAAGGAAATATATAAAATGTAGATATAAATCTCACATGAGAAGAACATTGCATGTGAAGTAAGATAATGTAAACAATCATTAAACATTGTGTGTATATGCAAATATGCATAAAAACTACAAATAACAATGTACCAATGCAAAATTTCACAAAAAATGATGCAAATGTATTGACCAACCTTGACAACGGGTTGCATTTTATAGTTATTTTTAATCCTTGGCCATACAACACACTGTACATGACGAGAATAGACATCTGTCAATGTCACTGATATATATATGTATAATAAAAAAACATCTGATAGATCAGATAATATTATACCATTAATTCACATGTGACCATATAAAACCGTAAAACATGCCTGTAAGCCATGTATTAAGGTAAGTCCCTTTATTCTCAAATAATTCTATTTGACAGTGTTCAGTGTTTTCTTTCATTAATTAATAAAAATTAAAGTTTCTTGACTTTAAATGGCTTACTTCATATCCTTCCAAGAGACTAAAAACCTGTTGTCATTCTCTCCCTATTCAACAAAAGAGAGAAATATTTGAAAGTTTGGATAAGCTTGGATGCAATACATTTTGTACTCATGTTAAAAGTAGGACAGGCACAATGAAACTGTTTAGAATCTGTAACTACATGTACATGTAGGTATTAATTTGTTACACATTTTCATGTACAGTGTATACAAATAATTACCATATCGACTGCTATTGCAAGGATCTAATGGCCTACTTGATTTAAACCACTGCAGGGTACATGTAACTTAAACACAACTCATTTTAGAACTGTAGTTAAGAATTAACTGTACATGTACAAATGTACATCACTTGAAATATCTGCAAGAATGGCTATTTATATAGATATAATGCGTTAACAAATTAATCAATAAGAACACTGATTCAATCTGTAGCTATTCATTACATAATTATATATATTTATAAATGTTAACTCAACATCTGTAAAGAAAGACCGAAATCAGAGGAAAACCCTATGATTTTCATGTCATTTTCTAAGTCCAAGGTTTGTGTTTTTAAGTCCAAGGTCTGTCCTTAGGTCTAAAGTATAACAGCTGTTACAAAACTTATAGGTAATCTGTATTTCTGATACAGATGCATACTTATTGCTATTACAAAATTATATCATGTCACTTTTTTAAAACTATGTTTAAAATACATTGAAAAGGATTCCTGTTTGACATGTTTGATGTCCCAGATATTATACATTTGTTAGCCTGATACCCTCAATGAGTTTTTAAACAACTATGTTCTAATTATAGTAACATTGCCATTGGCCAAATTGGTTAGACAGTAAAAGGCTATAAAATACACAATAAAACAAAGCAAATTGTGGTAAAAGTTCAATCTAAATGAAAGAAGATTGTGTCCATGTAAATATACAGCAACTTCAGCATTTTTCCATTAATAAAGGGACATAACTCGAGAACTTTGAAGTGAAGCCACACAAATTTGAACTTGGTCTGGGTTAGGTGTTAATAAGCATTGTGTATAAGTTTCACAACATTTAGTAGTGTGGAAATGGCAACTTCAGCAATTTTTTCCATTTTTCCAATATTTTTTCCAATTATAAAGGGACATAACTCAGGTATAGTGAAAATGACCGCATCCAAATTCAAATTCATCTGTGTTTAATGGTAATAAGCATTGTGGATAAGTTTCATTACATTTGGTTGAGGTAAACTAAAGTTAGAGAATGGAATCCAATTTTGGACATACGTTCAGACTTAGGTATAAATGTATGAACAGGCAAGGGAAAACCTTAATGTTCCCTTCGTCCCTGACAGGGGCATAAAACATATTTAGAAAGATAACATGCTTATGTCATATGTATATATTGATGAAAGGAGAGCTGGGGTGTAATTAAATGAGACAGCAAAACAACTACTAAACTACCTAAAAGTCATCTAGAAGGCAACATATAGCCATCAACAATAGACAGGTGTCTACACAATATGTGAAGCATTGAATCATCCCCAGTCTATAAGGGATATGAAGATTTAATAGAAAAAATTGAAGATCTCACATCAACACCAAATTCTACAAATAACAAAAATCTGAAATAAGACAACCACTGACAAGGTTCGTTCCTAATTTCCAAACTTGGGACAGGAACATGAGTAATTGGTGGGTTTAAACTTGTTTTTGTGAACTCATCCCTCTCCTGGTAATATAATTCACAAACATTTTAAAAATCTGAACACATTTCATGTGTCCATGTAGGATCTTTCACACACTACATTTGTACATGTCTAAACACACTACATTTGTACATTTCTAAACACACTACATTTGGACATGTCTCAACACACTACATTTGTACATGTCTACTCTTAACACACTGCATTTGTTCATGTCTTAACACACTACATTTGTACATGTCTACTCTTAACACACTGCATTTGTTCATGTCTTAACACACTACATTTGTACATGTCTACTATTAACACACTGCATTTGTACATGTCTTAACACACTACATTTGTACATGTCTACTCTTAACACACTGAACTTGTACATGTCTTAACACACTACATGTACATTGTACATGTCTACTCTTAACACACTGCATTAGTACATACATGTATCTTAACACACTACATTTACACATGTCTATTCTTAACACACTGCATTTGTACGGGTCTTAAAACACTACATTTGTACATGTCTACTCTTAACACTCTGCATTTGTTCATGTAAGATCATTTATGCCAAGCTTGGTTTCATTGGTTCAGTTGTTTCAGTGTTCAAAATCTTTTAGTATTTCAAAGTTCAAATACATGTAAAAGGTAAAAATTTCCTTTGAAGGGCAATAAGACTAAATTGAATTTTACAAATCTGTCTGTCTTTTCAAATGCCTCAGGGTGACAGCACAAAAAGAGGCAAAATTTATCCATAATAAGATAAGCTCCTATAACATGCATAAGGAGAAACTTTATTTTCATTTGCCAAACAGTCATCTTGGTTATAAATTTATCAAAATAAAATTAAAAAGTAGCAAACTATAATATACAATGTAGCCACCCTCAGGATAAAACATGTTAAGATTTATTCGAATTGATTCAGTGGTTTTGGTTCTTTGTAAATTTTCAGACAATGGACAACAAGTGAAATCATATTCATACCGGCCTTCAGCTAGATAAACTATAACTGCATATAGTAAATACCAAATTTCAAATCTTTTGTTTGACCCTGCACAGATGATAAATCAATGACCTCTGAGAAGACCATTCTTTGCTCTTATTCTTAAGTAATGCTACTGCTAACTTATGGGAGAAGCAATTAAAATACTAATTTTCAAATTTTTGGTTTCACCTATCAAGGGCATGAACCCAGGACCTTCCACACTCCAGGTGAGCATACTACCACGAGACAAGAGGCAGTTTAATTAAAAAAAGAATTTCAAATATAAAAAAAAAAACAATAAGCGTGAAAAAAAAGAAAGAATAAATTTCAATATTCTATATTATTATTACTACATGTATATATCATTGTGCTACACAAAATTAAATATTATACAAATATGTAATAACACACCTTATGTACTCCTTGTCCAGAATAGTTCCTTTTTTAAGTATCTTAAAGGATCTGATGTAGTGATACTGTAAATTATGAAACATAAAAGTGTCATGTAAGCAGTGAGGAGTAAAAGAATGCTTTCAATTTGCATTGTGAACTTAAGATTACACATTGCTTTGTACTAAGCATAAAATAAAGTTAGGCACTAGTCTTAATTGAGTTATTTCCCTTTGTCCATAAAAATATGTACATGCATGTGGAAAACGTAAATTCATAGTCTGCATAGTTTTCTGCAATTTTCAACAAATAATTTTTCCTGAGAGATATGGTAATACTTTCACATGTATTAATCATTTTCAATTAGATACAAATGTATCTTAGTAAGATTTTAATAAATAGTATTTAATGTCCATGAATATGCTCAATAGAATGTATGCAAGGACGTATATTACACAGCAGTGTTTTGTAGAATGATTTTTTTTCATTAGTGAAATGAATTGTGCATGTCAGTTAAAATACAATACTAGATCTGCAATACAGTCAGGAACAATACCTTACACTTTCTCCAGGGACCAACCTGGATCCCAAAACTTTTTTCCAAGGGCCCAGTAGAAATTTTAAGGCCCTTCCAGGGTATTTTTACTCTAGGTACATACTTATTAATTGTCTTGAATGTTCTTATAAAGGCAATGATATACGTTTGAAATACTTAATACATGTAGCCCAGTGTTTCTGATTATGATAGAAATAATAAATGAATTATAATAAACCACATTGAGTTTTTCAGAATTAAAATCCATTTAACCATGTCTTTTCAGACTGTTTAACTTATATTTGTAATATTTTATATAAAAAATATATAAAAAATCCCCCCCTTTTTCCATTTTACACACGCCTAGATGTAGGGTATTAAAGTATTATCAGTTTTACCATGTTAACCCCAAGATAGTATTCATTTTTAATGAAATAATCTTAGCAGTTAATCAAAATGAAAATCTTACTGTCTATAAATAACAATGAAATGTAACTGTTTCTTGTTAAAGGGGTTATCCGAATTTTCCCGCCAAAAAAGCACACGGCTTTCAACAAATGTAAACAAAGCAGTCAATTTGTGATCATGGATTACAGCTTTAATTAATTTGATTTGGATATAGATATTCAATGAAAGGTACAGTCAAGCATTGTTTTTACTTTCTTCTGGATTAAAACTAGTTTAAAAGATCAATTTAAAAAAAAAATCTTTTGACATAACAACAGACGATCTACGGATCTGAGACTACTATAACACATGTGTTATAGTTGTCTCAGTACGGATACATCAAAAGCAAATTGTCATCTTTTGAGAAATATTGAAATTGAAATGCCTACTGACCGAATTTAATGAGAAAAATTATTACAATGGTAAATTATGAAGTTTAATTAACAGATTAATGACCCATCCGATGTCGATAAGCGGATTATCTGTAAATACAACTTATTACACCTGCTGTAAATGTTAATTAGCTGAGGGTCATAAACTTGTCATAAATATGAAGACAGGTAGAATAATTGTATTTTCATCAAAATATTACGGCAATAAAGGCATGGACTTACGAAAAAGGGTAGGGCGTCTTAAAAAGGGCGCAGGGCGCGCTCGGGAAAGGGCAGGCGGACCACCCTGTGAAAACGACCTAGCTGGAACACTGCCATATAAAGGGATATCAATCAGATAAATAAATTTTATAAAGGAATGTATAAGTAATTTTCCTATTTTGTTGAGTGGCAAAAAAACAAGTATAGTGACCCAGATTTTTTACCCATAATTTAAAAGCCTCTATCACTCAGTATCAGAGCTACATGACCATTGTATCTTCTCATATTCTATTTCTAAATTTCTATTATTGAGTCTTTCAATTCACTCAAAATTGGTTTTTCCATGCATAATCCTGACAAATTTGCATAACCTGCAACTTGAAATCAAAGAGCTGAAAGCTCTGAGGAAAAAAGACGCCACTGTCTCTAATATTGTGATATTTTTTATGCAAGTCTTGATTTTCACATACCGTAATAAGTTTAACATTGCAACATGTCTCGTAAGCATATAATTGATATTCGTATATGTGTCTGTTTTTTCAGTACAAATGAATAGGTCAAGACTACCTGAATGATCTACAGTATCCAATTACTACTGGCTGTTTTTTTGTATAAATAATTAGGTTTAGACTACCGGAATGGATTGATCTACAATATCCAATGACTACTGGCTGTTCTTTTGTACTAATAAAAAGGTCAAGACTATTTGAATGATCTACAATATCCAATGACTACTGGCTGTTCTTTTGTACATATAAATAAAGACTACCTGAATGATCTAAAGTATTCTAAGTAATGTGATTTTTTTCTTGCAATTACATTTTTCTAAATCAAGAATATAGACTACTAGTATCCTTTTCAAACCAAATGATTATGAAGAGCCTGTTGTTAGCAAGCTCTTATACCCCACATATTCATTAAATAAGTTACTAATGACCTAGTTATTTCTGTTACTTGAAGCAAATTATATTTCTGTATATTTAGACAATAGTATAATATTGTTTTACTAGTTTTATTTCCCCTTGAAGATTAGACAAATAGGGATACTCCTTCGATTTTTATTTCATGTCAGTCAGGTCGCTTTATATGAAACTTGAAACCACTTCTCTGCCATATTGTTATTTTATAACAACTCTGCCCTTGACCATGTTGACCCATGTAATTGATATTCATTCTTTAACCATATATCATAGTCAGTTAGTTTTTGATTTTGCACTCCCACACCACCTTTTATGTCTTTCAGGTCAAATGTCTGTCTCCATTTAAGTTAATGACATTGAACAATCATGGTATTAAACACAATTTCAATAGTGATAATGCTGTTCTCGTAGATCACCATATATTCAACTTGGGTAGCATTCCAGTTATTGAAATTTGTGTCAGATTAGAACAATGATCTAGATCTTTAGGAATGGATCTTATAATTTAATATGGAGCCATAGTATGGGACCCATACACGGTAACAAAAAAAACAAGCTTGAAAGGATACAATGTCAAGCGGCAAAATCTATCACCAGAGATTACAAGTCAAAAGAGGATGGACGGGATACGTCTCTAAAATGCTTGCTGAACTGGAACTACAGCAAGATCTCCAGACAAGACGAACAAAGCGTTGAAGCCAGAAGTTAATATTTATGTAAAAAGTAGTTGAGGGGCTGATTCCCATTATTGAACCATACTGTCATTCTATAATATCATTGCGTAAGTATTTCTGTATTGGCCTTGTTATTGGTCCATGTCTTGGGTGTATTGGTCTGAGGCGAAGCGGAAGGCCAATACTGCTGGCCAAAGACCAATAATAAGGCCAATACAGAAATACACGTAATAGTATCTTTATTAATTAACTACAGTGTTACAATATTTTTTTTATTTCATTTCACAAGAGATAAACATTTTTACCTTGATGTGGAACTATCCAAATCTCAGTTTCTTTTTATAAGATGCAATATCTAATGATTCGGTGCCGTTTGAAGTATCTTCAGCCTTTTCTCATCTGATGAATTTTTCTACCCTTTCCAGTCACTATAAAGTGTTACAACTTTAATTTAGACACAACACATAAATAGTAATTGGAAAGGTACTGCCATTGCATGTGTAATGCAAATATATTTAAAAAAAAAAAATAATGTAAGAGTTGAAATTGATACAACTGTCCATAAGCCAATTGACCAAAGAACGAAGATTTGCACAATTACAGAATGCATATGCCTGGTTCGGGTTTAAAAATAAACGACCGTTTAAATACAAAACATGAGAAGCGACAGAAAACAGTAAAAATTGATTTGTACCATCGACATGATGAAATTATGAGGGTGTCAAGAAATGAACTTTGTGATAATTTACTTGTTCCCCAAACCTGAAATAATCCCATCGCCTACTTTCAAAATGCTTTTTAAATGAATGGGACCGTCTTTAACCTAAAATATATGCCATACTGAACGTTTCAGCTTGTTTATGGCGAGTAAACCTGCGTCTTACAAACAACTGTTTACTTTCAGTTAGCCTGACATCCTGACCCAATCTAATACTTCCCCGATACTGTCAAGCAGTGAGCCAGGATCGCAGGCTAACTTTCAGTTTGAGTTTATCGTGACTTACGATCTAAAAACTAGAGACGTTCCGAAATCCTGTTTTGCAAACAAAGATTCATACGCACCGCGTGGGTATAACCGTATTACTAATTTCCGATTTTTAAAATCTTCGTAAATCTGGATAAAGACCACTTTCTATCCAATGGATATCAAAATGATTCCGATTTTCACTTTTTTTAATGATTGTAAAGTTGAAATGGCATGAAAGGCTGACATTATTTAGAACTAGTTTGTCTAGCGATTGCTGATCATTGGAGGGTAAAAAGTCCAACACCATAACAAAACGGATCTATTTATCATGTATACATACCGATTGTTTATGATTGTAAGACATGTGCATAAAAGTGAAAGCTCGAATAAATATGAAAAATATAACAAAGGGATAGCTCCAAATACCATTTAATAACAAAAAAACATATGGACAGGTCAAGATATCTTTTTGGTAAATAAAATAAAGTATGTAAACTGGTTCCCGTCCGACTACAACACTTTGTTCAAGTGTAGCGGAATACAAGCAGATTCCAGTTAGTATGTAAAATAGTAAATATGAAACCGAGTGCGGTAGGCGGAGGCAATAATCGACTTCTGTAAGTTCTGGTCAATGGTATCGGAAACATGCCGCTGATAGCTTTAGTTTTATTTTTGAACATACATGAAAAGCACAATATAAACATCATTTTGGCAAAGTATCAAACAATTCTATTAATCTTAATTTAGACCCCACATCCGACCCCCATTTACCTGAAAAGGTGTATGGCACATAAAACTTTAAAAAGTTATATAATTTTTTTTTATTGATGGATCGATGGATCACACTCACAGATGTATGAAGAGTCCGAGAGTGGCTCTTGCTTTTTGAGCTATATCATAGTACAATAGATATATGAAGGAATCCTTGTTTCTGCAGTTTTGTCTTCCTGTTGTATTGTGAAACCAAAAGCTTAGGAGACTGAACAGGTCAATGAAAGAAGTTTTGCGCTTTTGGCTGTTGACAGTGTTGGGGTCACAGTTTAATGAAAACAACTTTAAAAAGTTTAGGATTTAGTAGATGACACGTGTTTTACAGAATCAAACGGAAATATTCTACGTTGATTTCCCCTGTTTATGCAGCTAGTGGGGTAAAGCTTCGTTTTGTAAAACATTACCTAGACTAGAGCTAAGTTTGAAGAGGGACCTGAGTTGTTTGGAAACCCAGCCATTAACAGTGTCGCCCTCTGTTGATCATGTTTAGAAAATCAAGACCGAAAACTCTAGTCTAGAACTTGCTATAATAATACCAACACAACCCGGTAATGATAAATATTGTTCGCTTTATTAAAGGTGTTGGACCAGGTTAAACCAAGTTTCAGCATTTACATACCTAAAGGTCCAATGTTCTAGTAGTATCAACAATAACTTATTTTTTTCAGTGTCCCGGAGCAACTTATTGACTTGTAACTTTCGATATTCGGAAATTTAAAAAAAGATTAAAAATAAAATGCAAAGTTAGGTCAAGGATTTGTATAGAATCAAAATATCCTATACAAATCCTTGGTTAGGTTTAACTTATTTGTAAAACCAGTGCTATATTGGCAGTCTGTAATCTTATTATTAATTGGGTAAAATTATCAGTGATTCACCAAACTTGAACAATGAAGCAAAATTGCACAACTTTAGCTTGCAAATTACCCTGTCATGATACACTCAGCAAATTACAACAAACTTGTATAGTAAGTAAGCAAGCAGAGACATATATACATGTATATATGTCTCTGAAGTAAGTAAGTAAGTAAGTAAGTAAGTAAGTAAATAAGTAAGTAAGTAAGTAAGTAAGTAAGTAAGTAAGTAAGTAAGTAAGTAAGTAAGTAAGTAAGTAAGTAAGTAAGTAAGTAAGTAAGAGTAAGTAAGTAAGTAAGTAAGTAAGTAAGTAAGTAAGTAAGTAAGTAAGTAAGTAAGTAAATTATTTATTATAATGTTGTATGTAACTATGTACAAATTAATGTATATGTTTATTCCCAAATTGAATGCCCTTGGGTGTCTTCGCCTCGTTTTATTGCCCATTTAACTAGTATACGATATTTGTATATTTAGATAAAGAATATGTTTGATAAGGAACAAACCCTTACAATCTTTGAAAATCATTTTTTCAATCCTTTTGTCTGGAAAAATATAAAATCAAATTTATTTAAAACACACTGCTATGCCTAGTGAAACTTCCTCTTTCCAAACTTTTAGTGATAATAAAAAACGAAAACATCTCCAAGTTTGAACAACAGAATAACAACTAAAATATGAAGTTATGGACATGCAAATTACCATATGCCATCCTGCAATCGTTCTTCTTCAATTTCATATGATCTTTAAAAATATCAATATGCATGCCGCCATCCCAAGAGGAGTAGGAAATATACCATGCAACCAATTTTTGAACAGAGAACTACTCACCAAAACAGACAGACATGTACAAATAAATTTTGCAGGTCAATGAAATTGAAAAATATTCTTAGTTACAAGTGTCCTTATTTATAGGTCCCAGATTTATGGAAGAAGATAAGACAGGTATTCTGGACACACGACAGATAATTATTTGAAAAAAACAATTTTATTTGACGACTTCTAGATAAAATAGGTTATAATAAAATAAACAGCTGCGCCACGAGCGCATGATACGCCCGTCGTCTTGTGTGTGAGGTTTTATGCAATAATCATAAATCGTTTCTGAGATACGGCGCAACATGTGAAAACCCCCCTTTTTTATAAAAAAAATCAATAACTCTAAAATAAAATTTTGAATCATCACCAAAAAGTATACAGATCTTTAGATTAATATAATTAAGAATTGGGTAAAGTTTTAAGCAATAATCATAAATCGTTTTTGAAATACGGCGCGACATGTGAAACCCCCTCCCTTTTTTTTTTACAAAAAACTCAATAACTCTAAAACATAATTTTGAATCATCACCAAAAATTATACAGATCTTTAGATTAATATAACTAAGAAGTGTGTAAAGTTTTAAGCAATAATCATAAATCGTTTTTGAGATACGGCGCGACATGTGAAAAAAACACCCCCTGTTTTAGTTACAAAATCCCGTAACTCAAAAAGTTTTAATCTTATTTTCACCAAAAAGTATACAGATCGTTTGACCATCATAAGAAACTGTGTTAAGTTTCATGAAATTTGAATAAGTCGTTCTCAAGTTACGGTGCGACATGTGGACGCCGAACAGACGGACAGACAGACATACAGACGGACGCCGGATATTTGTATACCATAATACGTCCCGTCAAAATTTTGACGGGCGTATAAAAACCTACTCTATATAGTATTTACTGATAATAATTCAACCCCATGTGGAAGATAATTCTGTGCTCTTGGTTATCTGTATATAATGTAGTCGAATGCGCTTCAGGCACGTTCTTTATTATTTAAAAAAAAAAGTGAAAAAGTTTTTGGAAATAAAGCAATATTTGGCGTATAACACGCTCTTTCTTTCAAGGAGTCTGATTTTACAGCAAAAATGGGGTTTCAATAAAAAAATTATAGAAACTACCAATGATAAAAGATGTACTGAAAATTCTTGGAGATAAATACTCGGGATTATCCCCACCTAAATCGGTACTTATGAAAGTTTTTTTTGGGTGGGGAGGGGATTATAAATTTGACAAAATGAATAGTCCCATTGGTAGTTATAATCTTATCTAGCTACAGTAACTATAATTATCGAGATAATCATTATTATAATAATGGGACCAATAGATAACTACGTTGTAGTGTCAGCTCAAAACCATAAAATTCGCTAAAAATTTACATTTCGCATACTATAATTTTCAAATATGTCGTCCTATTTTACTGAAATTTTCAGGATTGAAACAAAGACCGACGTCTTTGGTAGAAGTTAAGATTTGGAATATGTTTAGCCAGAGACATATAATCTCTGGTTTAGCTATATAAATTTCACCAGCCACTGTAATTTTCGAGATTATTACAAGAAGCTGAAAAAAATTGCAAAAATTTACATCCATTGTTTGAAACTGTTAGGTTGTCCGATCGTACTGAAATTTCTAAGGTAAATAGATCTTGCTTTGCGGATCAGATATAATTATCATCTAGCTCCTAATTTTGAAATATAGTTTGTATCTCATAACTGTGTTATAGTAGTCTCAGTTTGTATCTAGCTTCTATAGTTAGATAAGTCCCAGAAATTTCAAAATTCGCAAACCCTTTCATTTTAGGGGTCATCCAACATAGTTCGTCTGCATTTTTTTTTTAAGATAAATGGATCTTATCCATGTTGTTCATCATCTCTGTAAATTCAATCTAGCGCCTGTAAAGTTTTCGAGATAATAACCCGGAACTTTTGCTAAAAATGGATATTTCAGGTAAAATAAAATCAAAATAAGTTGTCATTTTTTCTGAAAATTTCACGGTAGATGGTCATTTTTACTCGTACTGATATAAGCCAAAAACTACCGTTCTACCTGTAAGTATCATTTTTTGCAACGACTGTCATTTTTGTTGACGAACTGACATCTTGGATACAATATATAAACTTGATGCTAAAAGTTTGATATCAAGTTTGGTTTCAATCTGTTCAATGGTTTCAGAGTAGAAGATTTAAAAAAAGTTTACGCCGACAACGACCGACGAGTGACACCAAGTGATGGCAATAGCTCACCGAAGTTCAAGGTGAGTTAAAACATATATTTCCGTGTGCACAACACGGTTTCTGCAATCATGATTCGACACCAGGAACGCTCGCTTGTAACCGAAAGTTTGAAAAACCGTTTCGTACAGCTTTAGATAAAAAGCATGAAAAAATGTGTTTATGTGAATTTTCTGTAAGATATTTTCTCAAGATATTGAAATGATCTCATCAGAATGGTTACTTTGTTTAAAGATAGACAGACCTCTTACCTTTAAGAAAAGTTCCCTGAGAAGTCTTTTCTATCTCAGTGTCCCTTGCCTGTGTGTACTTTATGAATATGTTATTATTATTTTGAGGACTCTCAGGAAGATTAGTTTAAACTAATGGGATTATCCTCTTGAAATAAAGATTATTTATCATTTATTTATTTATTGGTTTGTTTGTTCGGAGAAAATTTGTATACTCGCGAACATTTAACTGCTATGATCGTTGGTTATTATACGGTTATTGGAGAAATTTTACCGATTTGACACAACTTTAACCCACAATTACTGACTTTGGCCAACAGGAAATGGGACTGGTGTTGTAAGTTGAGCAGGGTTATTATTATCAACAAATAGGCGGTCTCAAGTTTTATTTTTATCATATTTTTTTTTATAATTTTTATGCATATAAAAGTCCGTATTGTTCATGCTTTAGTCTCAAATATCAACACTGAGAAATTTTTAGAATTTGTAAATTCATTATTCATAAATAAATAAGGAGATGTGGTATGAATGGAAATGAGACTAATATCCACCAGAGACCAAAGTACGAGCATATAAACAACTGCAATTGAGCAAAACCCATACCGTAAAGTAAGATACAGAAGGCACCGGCATGGTAAAAAGGGGAATCAATTCAAACTAAAAAAACCAAACGGTCTGATTCATGCTAAAACTTTAACAAAAACAAATCTGACAGACAGCAACCAATGACAAGAATTGAATTACAGGGTCCTGACTTGGGACAAGCTTATACAGAATGTGGTGAAGTTGAACATGTCAGACTGTGAGTACTCAATCCTTCCATAACCTCGGGACATTGGTGTAACAGTACAACACAAGAACAAACTCTAAAAATCAGCTGGAAACAGTCTGAGAAAAGCAGGACTATGTTGTCTATATTTTGGAAATATCTCAATCGTGTATTGACCTTTAGATTTTTTTGGTATATAATAATACATTTGATAACAGCGTTATTGATAAAACTACCATGAAAAATATATTTCAACTCTACATCACCAAACATACAAGAAAAAATATTGTACTGCAAACAAAATCTGAATACATATTCATGACTGATTGTCAATTCAGTTATAGATAATAATATAAAATTAATATCCTGAGTTCTCTATATATATTGCTGAGTATAATAATGGGGAAAAAACCCACACACGTATACACACTTGTATTTTACATTCATGCTTATAAAGAGTATCCAATATACTTTGCTCGAGGTATATAAATGCAACACTTGATTATTTCTTACATGAATCTTTGATCTATAGTCCACAAGTTTTGTTTTTGGGATTTTGTGAATTATATTTCTTATTGATTTATAATACACGCATCGATTGTGGTCATTGATTCCCATGGCAGGATTCACATGATCACATATATACAAATGTCATTAATTACATTTATGCATATAACTTCAGTTGAATGTTCAAAGACGCATGCTTTGAAAGCGTCTTTGGTATTCTGGCACAAAACATAGATTAAAAAAATCTCAAGTATTTGCCGTCTCAAATTTTTTCCTTTTTCTTAGTTTCCCAAATTTCCATCCAGATTGCTCTTTATTCCAGTTAACTAATTCCTCTAGCGTTTGAGGAAGTTCTCGCTGTCCTGTCTCAGGAAGTACCGTAACGAGAATGGTAACAAGAAAACAGCATACTCCAAAAACTACTCCGGGACCCCAGATGATTCTAGCAGCCTAAAGTAAACGAAATGGAAACTACTACAGAAGATAAAAATGTCGCTAAACTTTATCTATTTTTTTGTATTTTTTATTTTATTGATAGAATGATATTGATAAATCAACCAAGACAAATATCACAGTTTTGTGTGCCTTCTAAACTACCGAGAAAAACTTTAAATTGTTCCTTTTAAGTTTTTTCAATGTCTGTATTCAATGTTTCTACCGGTATCAGTCTTGTCTATCCTCTGTCATGAAAAACGTGTTTTATTTTCGAAACACATTCGGTAACTTTTTAGGGTTAGAAAATTTACATGACTGATGGTTTACGGATTTGGTGATGTCTTACTGTTAGATTAAAGTTAACTACCAATCCGTTATATCGCTTGATATAACTAAGCAACGTTTTTGAAGGAGTAACACGACGGGTGTCACATGTGGAGCAAGATCTATTGACCATTCTAGAATACCTAGTGTAACTCAGTCTTCATTTTTCTATATATGTAATGTTTTAGAGAATTATTTTGTCTTTTCATCGTTTTTTGCCATAGCGTTGTCGGTTTCTCTTCGAATTATAAGATTTGGATGTTCTCTTGTTATCTTCCGCCTCTTTTTTAATGTTCCTTATAAATAAATTGGCAATCAGTTCTAATTTTGGTCACATTTTTTTCTAATATTTAACGAAATTGTTAATGTTCCAGGATTTTGTTTTAATGTTTTTCTATAAAATTAGTAAATAGATGTTAGAAATAAGTTACTTAGAACCCGAATGTAACACTTAGTCTAGTTTTCTCTATAAAAATCTTCAAATATTCTGGAGGCAAATATTATGAAATACGAGAATATAACTTTAACATTTCTAATTATTTATAAGTGATAACTGATAACAGGAGTGAACAGATTTCCAAACTCTATCAAAAAAAAAAAAACCAAACAAACGACATCAATTTCCGTGTATGTATGTACATTTTATTGATTGAAATATTCCTTACATTTACTCGGACCTATTTTACAACGGTCAACAGGATATCACAATTGTAAATATATATCTACAGACTGTAAAATAAAATCTTTATAACAGACAAGTGAAGCTACAAGATCAAGACCTGAATACAAGTGTTTAATACAATGATTTACAGAATCAAAAGTCCATATATAGATGCAGATGTCGAAAGGTAAAAACTGCTTAAAGACAAAATGAATTCCCAAATGAAGCAGACGATTTGTCTAAATAGACATTTTAAACAGTTACACAACAAGTAAGTCGCCATTTTTTAATTTTAGCAAGGACTATCATATCATTAATTGTTTGAATAGGATCCACAAAACCTACAGCTGAAAGAAAACTACAAATTGAGTAACCCCATTTAAAAACTGGGAGTGAACTATGATGCACCGGAAATGTATTTTGTCTCCTGCTCCGAGGGTTATTTGTACTTATATTGAGTAATATGATGCTTTGTCATGCGTAAATGCAATGTAAAATGTATGATCTAAATTTATTTTGCTCACCAACAAAGAAGAGAAAGGCGCAATCATCGCACCAACTCTTGCCATGGTAGACGAAACCCCAAAGCCAGCCGATCTACAATATATAACAGAAGAAACAATTCCATGAGAAAGTGTATATTTACAGTTTGTAAATGATTTTTTAAAACAGGAATGCGAATTTTGAAGAAAAAAGAAAGTTTTTTTATTATCAATTTTGAGATGACACCTTAGATGTATTGAAATTCTTTATTTTGCATGAACTCTTTTTGGCCTACCCCTCTCCTGGACTTATATTTAGAAGAAAACAATATTACTGGTATAATTTAATATTGATTTCATTACGTAGTACTAGTAACAAGAACCGTTTCTAATAATAATGAACAGCTATAGAGTGCTATCAGAGAAAATTCTCAATATCGAACAGTAATTTAGAATGGTAATAACTTGAGTCACCAGTATTCGCACTGGCGGCTTTGAGTGCGTTGTTTGCGTTGAGAGCAAAAAGATTACAGAAGCAAGAACAGTTATATAACCGAAATTACCAAATTTTACCTAGTGAATGCATATAACTCATTTCAATGCCAAATTCAATCAATTTACCTTAAATTGGTAGGATACAGTTCAGGAGTGTACAGCCAAACAGAGTTGAAAGAAGACGATATCGCAAGTTTACCTAAAAAGCCAAACACTGTTGATACTACAGCGCCTTTACCACCATCATCTGCAATAAAATATACATAGCTTCATACACTGATAATATTAAGTTTCATCATAGCAGGCAAAATCGGTTGAAATTGCCTTCAATCAAGGTTGGTCGTTTCTGCTCTAACATAATTTGAGTACCCTTGCCTGCAAATGTGTTCTGTTCTAACATAATTTGACTACGATTGCCTGCAAAGGTGTTCTGTTCTAACATAATTTGACTACCCTTGCCTGCAAACAAAAAAATGAAAACAACACGTTATAAATTTCATGCGTCCGAAGCGCTTTTCTGGATTTGCCTTCATCAGGAACGCTCAAAGCCGAATATTTAAAAGCCAATTATGTATAAGGACCGAAAACGTTGAAGAGCTATAAACTAAAAAGGACCTAAGAATAGCCAAATCCATCTAAGGCCAACTTTGCCTGAGGGAGTTGAAACCTTAGTTTCTGTATAATTTCAAAATTTATAAACGGACAATTTTATATACTTTGTTATAAATCATGTCAGTACTGAAGTATTGACTACTGAGCTGATGTTACCCTCGGGGACTGATAGTCCACCAGCAGAGGTATCGACTGCAATGTAGATGCTGGATTAAAATGATTTATTTAAGTTGTCTTTATAGTGATAATTAGTTTGACATACTATTACTAGTATTCATCATTTCACCCGCTGACGCTACTGCTAAATCAAACTTCAAAAACCATTTTGATGGATGAAGCAAGACCTCGCGACTGAAATTTGTACTAAGCTAATTCAAAACAAGAACCGGTCTTACTTTAAGATTTTATTAACTCAGGTAACAGCTAAGTTTATTTTACTCGATGTGGTGAGAATTAAATAAGAATTGTTTTTGTCTTTGAATTAAAGAGTGTTGGGAGCTTATTTAAACAATCTTCATAATTTAATTTAATTCCTACAAATATCAAATTAAGATACTTGTATTACGTTACATTGGACAAAACCTATAATTAGCAAACTTGGGGGACAGGACAATTTCTTTAGCCCTCCCCCATTTTTCTCTCCAAAAATCCGTTATAATAACAGTGACCACTGTGGATAGAAAGCTAGGTATTAATAGTAAATAGTAAATACATGTTAATTCCAGCATATATATGTTAATATATCACAGAAAAACACAAAAATTATTGAAATTAAAAGAAAAAAAATAATAACGTATCTTGGAAAAAAAGGAGTGCTACAATAAAATTGTCCTGTCCCCAAGTCCCTATAGAAAATTCAACAAATTCCGAACATACAGAACGTTACTTTAAGGTAGATGGGGTGTCTAAATTATAATCCATAGAATTTTTTAATAATTTGCCAAAATGTAGTTTATATCATGGTTTTTAAAAAAAAATAATAAAAAGAATGGGTCACCGGGCTTATTTTCACGCTACAGGTTTTGCAAAATTGACAGATTTTGTATAGATTATGCACGGAAAACCCAATTTTCTGTCATAAAATGAAAACTACACCATAGAATTTTGAGATAAAATATGAGAAGATAGCTCTAATAGTATGCTTTCAGATAAGAAAAAGAAAAAATGGGGTCACGGGACCCTTTTTTTGGCTACATAATAAAATAGGTAAATTCCTAACACATTCTATTGTAAAAGTAACTTAATCTGAATTATCTGCCCTTACATTTGAGTTGCCTCCCCTTGTGTGGCAAAGTTGGAAAAAATAGAATTAAACAAACGTATTTGTTTTTTTTGTAAAATACAACTATCAATATGATAAAATATGTCATTTTCTATATTGAAATGAAAATTCTTACACATGAATTACGTACTACTCTCAAAATTTGCACCTTTTATTAAAGATCTAGACCGATTGTTTTCTGGTATTTCAAAATCCAAGATGGAGGAAGACACCCTATCTACCTTAAAGACACGAACAGAAGTTTGTCATTTACTTTATTTTATGAAAAAACTTCAGAAAAATGGAAACATGAACGTTCTTACATATAAAAGGCTACAAGTGATACTAACTAAGACAGTACATTGGTTTTCTTAACGCTCACTTACTTGTCTCTCACAAATTCTGCCGATTTCAATTAAAATGTTTACATGAAACTAAACAAAACCTATAAAGAGTGTTGTTTTCAAAGTTTCTTTGTTTCTTGAGAGGAAGTATAATATAACAAAAAAAAACTGTGCCTTTTAAAATAGATTCCTGTAGTAGAGAGATCATTTTGACACTGCATTCCTAATAATGTGCAGACTTTGATTTCCTTGGGTTATATTTGTGTATTACGACAAAGTTCTCAATAGGCAAAGAGTGAAGTTATTTGAGCACGTAAAACTGATTCAACCCCCACCAAATTTTGTGCCTGTACCAAGTCAGGGTATCTGGACCATTTGTTGTTCGTTGTTGTTTGTCTTTGGTTGTACATCTTTTTTTCCCGGAGGAATCGGTGTTGGTGGTTGGTGGTTGGTGCAGTCTGTTGTACTGTTAAATATTGGTGGTAGTTCATATTCCTTTCTATTAAATGTTAAAATCTTTCTGTTATTCATTGTAAAACGGACTTACCTTTTATAGTAAGAAGTGCTACAGAAATAATAAGTGAAACGCCAGCTAATGCATGAAAGAAAACAACCAGTGTTTTTCTAGAGGTTCTGTAATAGAATTAACTTTTTGGATACCATTAACTTGTTTTCATTCAATAAAAAGTTTAGGTATCAAGATTTTATTTCAAAATGAATGTTACACAGAACAATAAAAAGATAAACTAGTGTGCATAAATGTATACGTATAGTGTGATTATGACCGAAGAAGATTCACATAGCCATTGAGGTACTCTTTGGTCAATTTTATATCCCAATCAGAACACATTCATATTCAAGTGCTAGATAACACCCTAAAATACTATTCTTTCAATTTACAATCGAAAGATATTTTTACAGCTTCGATAATATGTTTTCGAAGCAACGGAAAGGATCACTGCCAGTATTGTACAAGTTACAACCGTCTGACTTTCTTGAGAAGGAGATCACTCGTATGAGTAGCGCTTTTCGGATCATACTCATTAAACAAAATTGAAAATGCTTATGTTGCATGTGATTGATCAATGTAATATATTCTTAAAAGAGGGTCTCGATGGGGAGCCCTTCATTTCTGTATTCCTTAATTGTTTAGTTCATTTTTCTCTTTTCTTTATATTTTAGATCCCCATTATTCTCTATTCTTTATTTTCTAAAGCCTAGTTTTTTCTATTCTTTATTTTTTTAGCCCTTTATTTTTCACCTTTTGTCCATTATTCTCTATTCTGTAAGCACCATCCAGACCCTCTCCAAATCTGTCAGTAAAACATAAAGTGAACAACATTTCAATAAATACCTGTTTACCATTAACCAAAACATAATGTTGGAAGGTAACTCCACTGTTGCATTGATGAAATAGTTCAGATAACGGCTGCCAGCCATTGAAGATGACGTCAAAAAGAGTCCATAATATGTCAAACTGTTCACACACCTTACAAAAAGGAACAACACACCCATAGAAAACATAATGAATAGGCAATGGTTGCATTACGCTTGAAACTAATATTGAATTATATAATTTATTTCTGGTAGCATGTTTGATTGATCGATAATTGATTGTTGGTGTTTAACGCCACTTTCAACACTCTTGGCTATTTCGAGACGGTCAGTTTTTGATGGTGGAGGAAGCCGGGGTGTCCGAAGAGAACCACCGACCGTCGGCATGAAAATAGCATGTTTGGTATGTCAATGGTAATGTTATTTTTTATGCATCCCCTTTTTCCTACAATTTCATTATTATTCTGATTACATTCGAAGCTTTATGATAGCGGATATGTTCCAAATGTCGTAACTACATTAACTACATTACCGGTTTGTACTAACATGAGCAACACGACGGGTGCCACATGTGGAGCAGGATCTGCTTACCCTTCTGGAGCACCTGAGATCACCCCCAGTTTTTTGTGGGGTTCGTGTTGCTCAGTCTTTAGTTTTCTGTGTTGTGCTTTGTGTACTATTGTTTGTCTGTTGATCCTTTTCTTTTTTAGCCATGGCGCTGTCAGTTTATTTTCCACTTATGAGTTTGAATGTCCCTTTGGTATCTTTCGCCTCTCTTTTAATATGAATGTAGAATCTAAATGTTAACTCCAAACAACAATTGCTCGTGTACAGACAGGTTGTGAAATAGTTTAAAACAAAAACAAAAAGACAACCAACTGTCTTGGTACATTTATCAACCTTAAATAGACAACTTTAATTTAATTCAATCTTGCCTTAAAATTGTTTTCAATAGAAGTATCATGGACAACTCGAATAGGATAGGGTAGTTTTATTCATTAGGCTTTTGCGATTCTAAAGTTAAAATTTCCTTATAATATGAATAAATAATATTTCGTGTGTTAAATTTCAAACAAATTATGTTAGCTGCATGGTTATTAAAGTTTTGTTTATTAACCTTCGACTCACCACGCAAACCAAAGAATTATGGAGTTCCTAAGTAAAATGCTACTTTTCAGAATATCCAGAAGAGTATACTGTTGTACAACTGATGGCATGGAATCAGTAGCAGCAGTTTCAATTAGGTCTGCGCTTTCTATTTCTTCAGACTGTTCATTTTCCGGTACGTCGTCGAACTCATCTATGGGCTCTGACCTAGGTAGTGCTAACTCGCGCATTGGTTGTTGGGAACTGATGATGGACAGGACTTGATTGACATTGATCTTATTAATCCTTGCTATTTTCTTTGCAACCTTTATCGCTTCGTCTGTTTTCTTGTTTGCTATTAACCAACGAAAGGATTCATCTATTAACCTGTAAATTGAATATTTTTATTGCATTAGCAAAACATTCCTTTAGCAAAATAACAAGGTATATACATATATGACAGAATACAGATTACAATTAAATTATGCAGAGATAACTTATCACACACAAACATTTGTGAAACATATTAACTGATAATTTGGATCTTAATTTCCACGCCGCCTTTATATAATTACTTAGTGTTATAAATGAATCAAAATATAAACCTAATACCATTGCAACAGATTGAAATGGGTATTGATAGTCTTTTTTAATAAAGCTTCGAATTCATTACATAGTGTTAATTGAAAACAACAGATGTTACGACTTGAATTCTCAAATAATTTGTAAAATATGAAAAACGACTTCCTTTTATACAGTGAAATATAGACCAAAGCGGGCGATTGAAGATAGTTCATATCGGTGATAGCAAATTTAAAGTTGAAGAAGCAAGTGACTTGATATCTTACACGACGGGTGACAATGTTCGATCACGTTCTGCTTAACATTCACCCTAGCTTTTGTTGGAGTTATTGTAGCTAAATCGTTGTTTTTTTTGTAGTATGTTGTGGTCGGTTGTTTGTTTGTTCGTCTTTCTCCTTTTTGTCTACGATTTTATCTGTATATCTTCGACTCATGGTTTTTTTTATTGCCCCCCCTTGGTATCTTCAACTTTTTTACAATGTTGTTTATACTTCCTTACCAGTATCCAAACAAACTATGAACAGAAATTAAACCAGCCGCTAGTTGTATGTATCTCCATGAATAATTACGCAATCCGTATCCAAATGCTGTAATGGACATCACTGATATCGTCCAAAAAATTGACAAAAGTGCTCCTATTGTACCACGTGATTCCTTTGGAAACATTTCAAGAAGGATCGTAGATAAAACAATTGCAACACCCTAGGAAATAAATGAAATGGGACAATGAATGAAAACATGAATGCATATTGATAACGTGTTGCTAGAGCTGCAATACGTATGCATATCTAAGAATAAGTTGTTCATTTTATTTGCAATACAACTTTCTACGTGGTGAGGGCTAAATGAAATGTGGGTTTATGAATTTCAATTCGTTATTTCAACTTTGAATCCGATTTCACAAATTAAATACGGTATCACATATTAAAAATATGGAATAACGAATTCCAGAATTTTTTTACGATCTAAAATTTCAGAAATCCGTGATAATTAAAACCGAACAAAAAAAAAATCGTTTAAAAATTCATCCATAAAAACAAGTTCCATTGTATAGATATGTAGGTCCTAAATGTACTTCCGTATAAATTTAATTTGGTAACGTTTGTTTTTGCATAATTGTATGCAACTCATATGTTTCAGAATATTTGTCGTTTTATTAAGATATGAAACGTTATCTTTAAAATCATGTGTGAACATGTTGACCAATCATATTATCATACCATTTTATTAAAACACATGTACAGTATAAATCAAAGATAGTCAAATGTAATAGTTCTTTTTGTTACCTGTTGCAAAGCACCGAGAAGAAGTCTTGAAATTGCAAATATTGTATAAGATGGAACAAAAAAAGAAGCTGTGTTTATGATAAATAATCCTAAATGCGATGACAACAAAATTGGTTTTCTGCCAAATCTATCTGCCATCGACGCAAAAAGCATGGCTCCAACACACTGTCCGGCTGCTAGAAATGTTTGTGTCAATTCACCCAAACCAGCACTTGTACAAACTAAATTCCACTGAAAATAAACAACTTAGCGTATCATTATTAAAGACAAACTGAACTGGATTTCCGTTTTAATGATATAAAATTTGTATTGGGTTTTATTCGATTTTTTCCGGATTTATTTTTAAACAAGTTAGTCTTGATACGTAGAGTGCAAAAAGAGCACCAAAAGGACCAACCAATCAAAACGTGTGGATGGCAAAATCGTAGTTCTTCATACATAACTTATATGCATAAGACAATAATAACAAAGCCAGTGACCCCCTCTAATTTTCATAGAAATAAAACGGAAAAAATCCCAGCAATTTCATATAATTTATAAACATATATTGTAATTAAAAAATCGCAATGTACATAAAAACCAATCAATTATGACACTTTTGACATGCCATTCGCCATCTCAAGAAATTACGCCCGTAATATCCTACGATAAACAGTGTTGAGGTTTCATGCATGGGGAATTCATATATACAAATAATAAGATGTGGTATGAGTGCCAATGAGACAACTCTCCATCCAAGTCACAATGTATAAAAAGTTAACAGTTCAAAGTACGACCTTCAACACGGGGCCTTGGCTCACAACGAACAGCAAGCTATAAAAGGCCTCAAAATGACTAGTGTAAAACAATTCAAACAGGAAAACCAACGGTCTAATCTATATAATAAACGAGAAACGAGAAAAAACTTATGAACCCCACCAACAAACGACAACCACTGAACAACAGACTTCTGACTTAGGACAGGTGCATAACAATGCAGCGGGTTTAAAAGTTTTAACAGGCGCCAACCTTCACCCTAACCTGAGACAGTAGTGTAACATTACAACATAAAAAGAGACACTATAAAATATCAATTGAAATGGCTTAACTCGATCAAAAAGACATTTACACGAAAACAAGTGAACATACACTGAACGAATAAGTTTGATCTATGACACAATATAAATACAATATTAAAACGTAGGTATAAAAAGAAGATGTGGTATGATTGTGAATGAGCCAACTCTCCTCAATAGATAAAAATCAGTTGAAAAAGGGTTAACTCATCAAATGGATACAAATAGAAATACATCTAACAAAAACACAAAATGGACGTGGAAGGGTACTTGTACATCCCAACAACAAAAAGACACTTAGCACAGATCTGAGAGTACTCGCAGCTACTGACAGCTAGTTCAAAGCCAATGACAACTAATAAAAAATCATGCATCTAAGACTAAATTATCAATCAGTACACATCCAAAATATGCATATAATACATAGACGCTACAGGTAGTAATAAAACAAAGTTTTAGTATATTCATACACCATCTATGTACATTCTTTTGCGCGGATGCAATTTCAAACAAGCACCATTCAATCAATCAAATGTGAAGTTAAAATGTTGGGATTACACATCAAAAAGGGTCTCAAAGAAGGTCATCGTTGCCGGCAACTAGAAATCCAGAGCTACATATAATTTGTATGTGCACACCTAGACATATTTGGAACTATGTAACTCAAATGATATTTATTCAAATCAATCAAACTAGAATTGCTATCTCACCTCTGAAACAAATGTTTTGCCGGTATTTTCGTAAGTATATCCATTTACACATGGCAATGTCCATTTCTCTGACGTCATGTTAGTTCCATTGGAATAAACCGTGATGTCACATTGTCCGTAATGAACTATGACCTGTGATTCATTTACATAGCTTGGAATACCATGCGTATAAATACTGTGTGTCAGGTTGCTACAGTGATGAGGAGGTTGATATCCTGTGTATTTCAAATATAAACTAAATAGTTAACTTAAAAAAAACCCGAAAGCATATATCGTCAGGTTATCGGAATTCCCATGGGGACTAACTGTGTACCACTTATTGCGGATCTGTTTCTGTATTGTTATGAGTTACAATTTATGACTAAAATCAGCAAAGACCCATCGAAACAACATCTGATTCAAAAATTTAATAACACTTTTAGATATTTAGATTATATATTGGCTCTCAATAATGACGACTTCAGTATGTTCACTAAAGAGATTTATCCCGCCGAACTGACTTTAAATAAAGCTAATACTAACCCTTTCCTGGATCTTGATATATTTATCCTTAACGGGAAAATTAATTCCAAAATTTATGATATAAGAGATGATTTTTCATTTCCTATTGTTAATTATCCATTTTTAGATGGTGACGTTCCCTTGTCGCCATCTTATGGTGTTTATATATCTCAACTTGTTCGATTCGCTCGTGTATGTAACAACGTATTTGATTTCAACGAAAGAAATCTCTTTATTACTGAAAAATTATTACACCAGGGTTTTCGATATCACAAACTGGTCAAAACATTTACTAAATTTTATCATCGGTACAAGGACATCATTCGTATATATAAATCAACATGCAGACATCTTATACGTTCAGGTATTTCACATCCAATATTTTATGGTAATATTCTTAACAAAGCACAAAAATGTCGGCATTCACCTCAGAAGCTTACCAAACCTTTAAACAGACTTAGTTGGAAAGGATATAGTTACGATACTGTTGTCAAGTCATTAAGGATTGCATATTTTGGTATTAATATCGATTCACTCATAGGGTCTTTGCATCGGAAATAAACACATTTATTCTAAAATCAGTTGTTGGCATGAGACGGGTTATGTTCTTCTCATATATTTTGTGATTGTATGATACTAAACCCCTAACGGGAGGGATTGTACTTGATTGTCATATGATGAAGACATAATCTTTCAATCAGTTTAATTGAGGTCTGGAGCTGGCATGTCAGTAACTGCTAGTAGTCCTTTGTTCATTTATGTATCATTGTCATTTTGCTTAGTTTCTTTTGTTACCTATTCTGACATCGGACTCAGACTTCTTTTAAACTGAGTTTTACTGTGCGTATTGCTATGTGTTTCTTTATTCTACATTGGTTAGAGGTATAGGGGGAGGGTTGAGATCTCACAAAACATGTTTAACCCCGCCGCATTTTTACGTCTGTCCCAAGTCAGGAGCATCTGGCCTTTGTTCGTCTTGTATGTTTTTTAATTTTAGTTCATTTATATGTTTTGGAGTTTAGGGTGACGTCCATTTTCACTGAACTAGTACACAATTTTATTTAGGTGCCAGCTGATGACCACCTCCGGGTGCGGGATTTTCTCGCTGCGTTGAAGACCCATTGGTGGCCTTCGGCTGTTGTCTGCTCTTTGGTCGGGTTGTTGTCTCTTTGACATGTTCCCCATTTCCATTCTCAATTTTATATCAATTTGACAGCAAAAAGACTAAGTGTTTAAATTAAAAACATGTATAAAATATAAAATAACAAAAATACCGAACTCCAAGGAAAATTCAAAACGGAAAGTCCCTTAACAAATGGCAAAATAAAGAGCTCAAACACATCAAACGAATGGAAAACAACTGTCATATTCCTGACTTGGTACAGGCATTTCCTTATGTAGGAAATTGTGGATTAAACCTGATTTTATAGCTTGCTAAACTGTTTGCTGATATTTAGTAGAGACAGGCACTGTTTTTCAAAAGCAAATCTTTACCTATTAGTAAAAAATATAAAGGAGTGGTATGGTTTCCAATGATATATCTATCACCAGAGACGATATGACGTAGATGTTAGCAACTATTGTTAATCATACAATTAGCAAATCCAATACTGGCAGCATTCTATAAAAGGCGACGACACGTCAAATTTTGAAACAATTCAAACGAGAAAACCAACAGCCTGATTCGTGTACAACACAATGAATAAAAAACAAATATGATTTACAAGTAATGCAACACACGACAACCATTGAAATAAATGCTCCTGACTTTAGACAGGCGCATACATAATGTTGCAGGGTTAAACATGTTTGTTGGCGTACAACCATCCACCTGAGATCCCCCGGCCCGCTTTTTGGTGGGGTTCGTGTTTCTCAGTCTTTAGTTTTCTATGTTATGTTTTTTTATACAGTTGTTTGTCTTTTGATCGTTAATAGTTTTTTGATGGCATTGTGAGTTTATCTTGACTAACGAGTTTGAATATTCCTTTAGTATCTTTCGCCTCTCTTTTACCAGAGATACATAGATTCATCACTTCAGATACGGACCAGAGACACATAGATTCTACCACTGCATCGAGTGTGATACGATATTTATCCACTCGAGACAGTTAAATTTTCAAATTTAAAACGCGACGCTCGCCGAGCGTTTTAAATATTTAAAATTTAACTGTCGAGAGTGGATAAATATCGTATTACACGAGATTTGGTGGTGGAATCTGTTTCTCTAATGATTTTCAAACAATACGCAGGCAAATTTATTCCTTCTTTTCGAATGATCTGCAAAAAGATGTGTTCTTTCTATGTGACGTTATCAGGCATGGTCGCCTTTTTTCATGCCGTCACAATAGGAAATTCAGAGGAAAGCAAGAAAATTCGACGTCATAATCGGATTTTAACCAATGAAGAACTGAGATCAAACGAACCACACGTTGATTAAATTTTTTTATACAATGGGTGCAGAAAGGGATAAATTGACGAAGAATTAGAGAAATAGATTTATCACTACAGATACGGACATAGCGAGCAAGTTGACCACATTGACATCATGACCTGGCATCAAAATGAAGTAAGAACGCGCACAGGTACTTGTACTTGGAAACAGGACATATTTATTGGTCCCTCTCTCCCCCCCCCCCCAAAAAAAAAAAAAAAAAAATCCGTTATTTTGTTTTCTTTTTACTACAATTATTTCTCTATTTTTCTGTGCTAGTCTTACCTTAATACAATCGAAACAACATTTGTTTACTATTTTCTATCAAAAACAAGGTATGATATCAGGTGCCCCGGAAAGGTAGGCGTATCCTGCTCCACAGGTGACAACCGTCGCGTTGTTCATTGTATGAATAGCTCGGTGATGCCAAATCGAGAAAAAGAGAATGGGTGAATGACTACGAAAATGTAAACATATCCGTGGTGACACAGATATTCCATAACGACCAACCATCTCAAGATGGCGACACCAATCTTCCGAAGGGATGACTCTAACGTTTACATTAACATGAATATGTTGTAGTTATTATAATCAAAGTTGTCTAAGAATGTTATTGTGTATTATTTCTTTTTCAGTTTGTCATAAATTATGCAGTTATAGAACCGAAAATTTAGTATTAAAAATTGAAGTAGGATTTGTTTTTTTTGTAAGCACAATGAGACTCTCACCTATGAAAACATATACAAGCACTGTATAAGATCCACCAAACATATGGATAAAACCAACATAAAACAGTTGGAGAATTTGGTACCTCTTCCATGGCCCCAAAGTTGTTAAAATGTTATCCACGTCAACATCCATATTGTACGATACTTTAAATGAGAACGAATACAAATGATTGTCTAACTATAGGCGCAAAATAAACCGAATCGTGATGGTACATATATAGAATAGGTAGTTACTGTGATAAATACAAGTAGTTTGTACAAGGTGTTTTTTTGTTCTTGCGAGATCAACTGTTTTTGAAGCCATAGAAATACAAGAATATATAAGACTTTACCATAATACCATAATAATAATAATAATGCAGAAAAGTCTGTATGTAACCATATTGTTACCTAAATGGCAAAACACACCATAGACAAACAATTTGATAATGTCTAATATCATTGACAAAAAAGTATGAACCGGAATGTAAATGAGATGCATGTTTATGTATAAATATGGAAATAAGACAGTATAAAGTAAAAATTAACAACTATAGGTCACCCGACGACTTTCAACAATGAGCGAAACCCATACCACAGAGTAAGCTATAAAAGGTCACGAAATGACAAATGTCAAACAATTCAAACGTAAAAACTAACGGCTTGATTTATGTACAAAGCAATAAACGAAAAACAAATATGATATACAGCAACAAACGACAACCACTGAATTAAAGGCTCCTGACTAGGGACATGCACATACAGAATGTGGCGAGTTAACATGTTTGCGGGCGCCAAATCATCCCCCTAACCTGGTACAGTACAACATAAGAACAAACTATAAAAATCAGTTGAAAGGGCTTAACTTATCAGATTGATAAAAGCACAAAAACCCTAACACAGTCATAAAGTACAGACCTGAGAGTACTCGCAGTTACAGAAAACTAGTTCAAAGCAAATTACAACTATTAAAAATAAACTATGTATCTAAGACTTAAATGCCAAACAGTACACATCCAACTTCCAATGGATTTAGTGTAAAGACGTCATTTACAGTCAGAGAAAAAATTGACATTCTTCTCTGCCAAAATATAGATATTGACAGTATCGACAGATTGTGAGACCGTGAATGTAGTACACACGTTTGGTTTTATTGCGAAAGAAATAATACTTTTCCACAGATTCACCTGAAGGCTACCTATCGATTTAAACTTTTGCAAGTTCTTTTGTCCCATCTAATAAATACAATAGCTATTGTTCTCTTTGGAGTTTATTCAATGGGAACTTTAAATTTCTTCTAGGAGAAATACATTACTCTTGATAAATTTACCTGCACAAAAAATTTAACTTTCAATGATGAAAATACTAAATAAGGACACACAAAACTGCATGTGATGTTGTATACATATTATTCAATATCAATAATACATTTTGTGTGTTTGACAAATAAAAACTGGAAAATGACAATGTTTAGATTAAGGCCTTCTTATATGTATTCTAATAAAATCAATAGTCATGTGTCTGTTTCAATAAGTAACCTCGTCAATGTTTGTCTCATGTCAAATTTCCTAAATATGTTTTTTTTTATTTGGAGAATTTGGTGGAGATGACAGATCTTTGATAGTTGGTGTTTAATGTATTCACATTTTTATTTTACTATTGTCTCTTTATTTTTTTTTTTGTACACCTGTCTATACGATGTTAAAGACTGTACAATATACGTTGACTGTCATCAAGATATCTTTTGGTAATTTCTGTCGTTGAGCTGCAGTCACATTGACGTATACCCACTTCACCTTTTATTATTGGTTATATTTACTTAAACTTCAAACTTTACCCTCTCAAGGAAAAGTAATATTAAATGGTTTTGTCTTTTAAGTTGACATCCCATTTTTGCTTTTATACAGACCCCAAGGTGAACATAATAAGTTTTAATCTTTGCTGCATATTATTTGATTTTGTTTGTTTTATTGTCGTTAAAATTTTCCGATCTAACTTCGTACAATTACGGAGTATGTGCATGCTGCCGTGACCTATTAACCAGAAGAAAAGCAAAAACTTGAGGTTGGTACGTTAGGAATTGTGTTCGCATAGCAATATTTTAAACATAATCTAATCAAAATCTAATGACCCTCTCTCTTTTTCGCTTGGTTTGTTTGTGTGGAATGCATGATAACATTACATGATAACTGTTTTTTAAAAATTATTATTAGTTTTTAATATTACAATTTACCAGAGCGTTTACGTGCAAGTGTCCTTGAGAAGAACATACTAGAACATTAGAAAGGCGACAATTTGTTCCCACTTTTATGACCAATGAAGTTATCAATATATTTGAAAATTGGTTTAATCGTTTTGATCCGTGTTAAACTAGCACAGAAACAAAGTCGATTTGGAAACTGAAGACCAATGAAATAAAATGAAAATAACGTCACACAGGAAGATCAAGAGTTTGTTGGTCTTTAAACTTTTTCCTGGTGACTATCACAAAAAATGTTGAACATGTCAAAAAGGTTAACCGTAAATCAGAAAAGGAAAATATCATATCTACAATACAATTCTACTTTAATCTAAGCAACAATCAAGGTACTTCACCTTTAAAACTAGAAGAGTATAAGTGTTATTCTTTTGTCCAAAATGTCTCATAAATTGAACTTCACTCATGATAAGATTAATTACTGGCATTAGTACAAATATACAATGTTTTAATATAAAATAGCCTTATAGGTTGAATAACACCACACAAATCTTCACAATGCCTCAAACTAAAATTTAATATTTTTTTAGTGTAAAGGTTTTCCTAAGCTGTAAGATAGCATACATACCATACAGTAAAACTAGTTGATCTAGTGGATTTCCTTAATCATGCACTGTTCTTATATTGCCTTCTTGGTATGATCTTATTAACCATTGGATACTGTTATCAAAGGGTTTATTCAAACCTCCGACAGAGTTAAAACCTTGAAACAAGTTGAAAAATGTAAGAAATAATGCTTCTGTACATTCACCGCCATAATTAAATCTGCACCTGATAGTAATATTTGTTCGTATTTTTATAACTGTATTTCATAAGGATAAAAGGATTTCCCATTTCACAGGACGCAATTTGGTGTTTTACAGTCAAGTTGCAGTAAATGAATGAACTCACAGATCTTCCTAAGTTTTGCAAATTTTAGCATTTACAATCGAAAGCATTAATGTATTTATCTGTTTTATTTTCTGACATATCATTTAATCAATGAACTGAAATAAATACAATACACATAAAATCGATGAAAAATGTTCTTAGAATTGTTTCAAAATCTTAAATTTCACATAAACTAATCAGTAGATTTTTCTTAAAGATTGATATGCTTTTGTAAATTTTCTATAATTCATTTTATGATATATGTTGGGCATTGTATTTTATGAATGTATTTGTTTAATATGATCTGTGCAACTATTACTTGTAAGCTGGGCTTCAAATTTACTGTGAAACTGCCAATTCTAGAGAATACTAAAAAATTCAATGAATATTTTAGAGTACATACAATCTAAGTCTCTTTTTCTTTGCAATGGTATTAAAACATCCGACTTTTCTACCCTTTACACAAGTATTCTCAATTCCAAAATGAAACACAAATTGAAAAAATTGGTCCTACTTTTTCATAAAAAGAATCAAAGTAAGTACAAGTATTTTGCCTGAGGGAGGGATAAATCATACTTTGTAAACAATCACTTTGATTCAAACAAAAAATTCTCGGAAACTGAAATTATCAAGATAATTGATTTCTTGATTGACAACATATTCATTACGTTTTAAGGATGTGTTTTTCAACATGAGCCTTCCCATGGGAACCAACTGTGCTCCTCTTCTTGTTGACCTGTTCCTTTATTCATATGAAGCTGACTTCATACACAATCTTCTTATAAAGAATGAAAAGAAGCTGACATAATAAAGATGACATTTTCCTTTAACTTCACTTTCCGCTTTAAAGATGATGTCCTCTCACTAAGTATTTCAAAGTTTGGTGACAATGTTGAACGCATCTATCCCATTGAACTTGAAATAAAAGATACAAAAGAAACAGTTAAGTCTGTCACACATCTTGACTTACATCTAGAAATTGACAACGATGCTCGATTGAGAACAAAACTTTAAGACAAAAGAGATGATTTCAGCTTCCCAATTGTGTGAATTTTCCATTTTTATGTAGCAACATTCCAGCAGCGCCTTCATATGGAGTATATATCTCCCAGTTAATACGGTATTCCAGAGCTTGCATTTCCTATCATGATTTCTATGGTAGAGGTTTGTTGTTTACAAGGAAGCTATTAAACCAAGAGTTCCAATAATGAAGTTGAAATCACCCCTTTTAAAATTTTACGGCCACCATCTTTAGTTGGTTTACCGCTATGGAATATCTGTTTCAAAGATAACGACAGATATATTCCGATAGTCGTTACCACAATCCCGTCCTTTTCTCCCCTAATGTGACCTACCTAATTAGACTAATCATCGGGTTTGTCTAGACATTACAGGTGCTACATGTAGAGCAGGATCTGCTTACTCTTCCGGAAAACCTGAAATCACCCTTTTTTTAGTGGGGTTTGTGTTCCTTTGTCTTTATTTTTCTTTTGTTGTGTTTTGTATACTGTCGTGTGTCTTTGGTCTTTTTTCGTTATTTTGCCATGGCGTTGTCAGTTTATTTTCCGACTTGCGAGTTTGAATGTCCCTTTGATATCTTTCGCCTCTCTTGTACCAACGAATGATAAAACCGATATTTTAAGTTATTTGCTACAGTTTATTTCTGCACAACAGTATTACAAGTAAAAAGGAATAGAAAGAAATGTAAGAAGAAACCAATTAAGTGACAAACACACACATAACAAATACCCCCTCCCCCCCAAAAAAAAAACAAAAAAAAAAGCAATAAAAAAACAAAACAAGAGTCATATAGATGCCGGTAAACGGCCTGCAACAATAGCAAGTGTTTAACAAATATATCAAAATTCATTTCGCCAACATCATGTCTATACAAGAGGTAAAGTATTTTAACAGTGACTATCAAAGATCTACTATCGACGCCAAAAAGGTACAGAAACACCAATGCCGAGGATTGTCACTTGGGAGGGGCATTTTACCTTTTTAGCACTCAATCCTACCTTTTTAAA